CCAGAATCCAGTGGAAATTAGAAAATGCTTCCAGAGGTACTTTAAACAGCTATATACACAAGGGCCACAGAAAGACTGTGATTTAGATCAATTTTTAAAAACAAATGGACTTCAAAAAATCTCTCAAGAAAATAAGTTAATGTTGAACTACAAAATAACAGAACAGGAGGTGGAAGGTGCCATTCAGAACATGCAGTTGGGCAAATCTCCAGGGCCAGATGGCTTAACCTCAAAATATTATAGGTCCTTGAAGGATTGGATAATTCAACCATTAAAGGAGGTTTGTAATGAAATTTTGGAGGGGAAAAAAGTGCCAGCATCGTGGAAGGAAGCTTATATTACACTAATACCGAAAAATGAGTCTGAAAAGACACAACTTAAGAACTACCGCCCCATATCCCTGCTTAATGTGGATTATAAAATTTTTGCAGATATTTTGGCTAAAAGGTTAAAAAAAGTATTAGTGGAGGAGATACATAAAGACCAAGCTGGCTTTCTCCCGGGTAGACACTTGTTGGACAATACGAGGAATATAATCAACATTTTGGAGATGCTGCAAGTGAATATCAATACTAAAGCTGTTTTAATTTTTGTAGATGCGGAGAAAGCCTTTGATAATATTTCTTGGAGTTTCATGAAGAAAAATCTTCAGGGGATGGGGGTTGGTCAAGGGTTTGAAAATGGTATAAGTGCAATTTACTCAGAACAAAAGGCCAAACTAATAGTTAACAATGTGGTGACAGAGGAATTCAAGATAGAGAAAGGGACACGACAAGGCTGCCCAATTTCCCCATTGCTGTTTATTTCGGTCCTGGAGGTTTTGCTAAATATGATCAGAAGGGACCGTCTGATTAAAGGTATACAGGTCGGAGCCAAACAGTACAAATTGAAAGCTTTTGCAGATGATTTAGTATTGACGTTACAGGAGCCAGAATCTAGTACTAAAAGAGTATTAGAATTGATTCAGGAATTTGGTCATGTGGCAGGATTTAAGTTGAACAAGTTAAAAACTAAGGTGCTTGAGAAAAATTTAACACCGATTGAGAAAGAGAGGTTTCAGAAGGAGACAGGTTTAACATTGGTTAAGAAAGTAAAATACTTGGGGGTTAATATGACCACTAAGAATTTAAACCTATTTAAAGACAATTATGAGAAATGTTGGTCAGAAGTGAAAAAGGATCTAGAGATATGGTCAAACTTGAAGCTTTCCTTGTTAGGTCGAATTGCTGTTATAAAGATGAATGTATTGCCAAGAATGTTATTTCTGTTTCAATCATTGCAAATCTTGGACAAAATGGACTGTTTCAAGAAGTGGCAGAGAGATATTTCTAGATTTGTCTGGCAGGGCAAGAAGCCCAGAATAAAATTTAAAATATTAACTGATGCAAAGGACAGAGGTGGATTTGCCCTGCCAGACCTCAAACTTTATTATGAATCAGCAGCATTCTGCTGGTTGAAAGAATGGCTGCTTCTTGAGAACACAGACATTTTGGATTTAGAAGGTTTTAATAATGTTTTTGGGTGGCATGCATATTTGTGGTATGACAAGGTTAAAGCACATAAAGCATTTAAAAACCATATTGTTAGGAAAGCATTGTTAAATGTCTGGATAAGATATAAGGACTTACTTGAAAACAAAACCCCAAGGTGGTTGTCACCGATGGAAGCGAAGGCTCAGAAAAGGCTCAATATGGAGGCCAAATGGCCGAAATATTGGGAAATTTTGGAACAAGAAGGAGACAAATTGAAATTGCAGAGTTTTGTGAAATTAAAAGACAAAGTGTGAGACTGGCTTCATTATTATCAGATAATGGAGGCATACAATTTGGATAAGAAAATTGGCTTCCAGGTGGAAAAATCAAAATTGGAAACAGAACTATTAGAACCCAAAACCAAGATTTTGTCAAAGATGTATAACTTGCTGTTGAAATGGAATACTCAGGATGAAACGGTGAAATCTGCTATGATTAAATGGGCACAAGATCTTGGACATAATATTATGTTTGCTGACTGGGAACAGTTGTGGACCACAGGTATGAAATTTACGGCATGTAATGCCCTAAGAGAGAATATTATGAAAATGATATACAGGTGGTACATGACACCAGTCAAGCTTGCAAAAATCTACCATTTGCCCGATAATAAATGTTGGAAATGTAAAGAAAACGAAGGTACATTCTTTCACCTTTGGTGGATGTGCCCAAGTATTAAGGCTTTCTGGGAGATGATCTATAATGAATTGAAAAAGGTATTTAAATATACCTTCTTGAAGAAACCAGAGGCCTTTCTCCTAGGCATAGTCGGCCAATTGGTGCCAAAGAAGGATAGAATTTTTTTTATGTATGCCACAACAGCAGCAAGAATTCTCATTGCAAAGTATTGGAAGACACAAGATCTACCCACCTTGGAAGAATGGCAGATGAAGGTGATGGACTATATGGAACTGGCGGAAATGACTGACAGAATCCGAGACCAGGGAGAAGAGTCGATGGAAGAAGATTGGAAAAAGTTTAAAGACTATTTACAGAAATATTGCAAAATTAATGAATGTTAGAATGATGTTGGATAGAAACTAAGTGGTCTTTAGCTGAAATGTTATAAGGGAATATGAAAAAATGGTTCATTAATAGGCAAAAATCTAAAATTACAATATCTTATGATTAATGATTAGGATACACAAAGAGGGGAGGGATTTGCTGAATAACTGAACTGGAATACAAAAAAGGGAGGTGTGAGGAGGTCCTGGAAATAAGCAAATGAAGGATAAGTAATGGAAAGAATGAATTGTTTTTAACCTTTTTTACTTTGTATTTTTTCTTTTTTTGTCTTGTAATATTCTAAAAATCTTAATAAATATCTTATAAAAAAAAGAATTGTAGAGTTGGAAGGGACCCAAAGGTCATCTAGTCCAAACCCCTGCAATGCAGGAATCTCAACTAAAGCATCCATGTCAGATGGCCATCCAACCTCTGCTTAAAAACCTCCAAAGTGGAGAGTCCATAACCTCCTGAGGGTGATATTATAATTAGAAAAGGTTCAGAAAAGGGCATCCAAAATTATTAAGCGGATAAGGAAAGGCTGCATTACTTCAGACCTTTCAGTTAAGAGAAAGGCCATGTAAGAGGAGAAATGATAGAAATGCATGGAATTACGCATGACATGGAGAAAGTGGGCAGAGGAGTTTTTCTCCCAGTCTCATAAAGCTTTGTCCTTTCTTTGGGCTTCCCACAGGAATAGGGTGGACATCCAACAAAGCTGAAGGTTGGGAGAATTGAGAACAAAGTACTTTTTCATAGTTAAGCTATGGAATTCACTCCCATAGGAGGAAGTGATGGCCACCAATTTGCATGGTTTTGAAAAAGGTCTAGACAAATTCATGGAAAATAAGGCTATCAATGGCTACTAGCCCTGAAGGCTATGCTCCATCTCCATAATCAGAAGCAGAATGCTTCTGAATACCAGTTGCTGGAAACTGCAGGGGAGTGCTATTGTGCTCAGGTCTACTTTGTATGCTTCCTATGGGCATCTAATTGGCCACTGCAATAATAGGATGGATGGACTAGACGGGCTACTGACCTGATCCAGGAGCTCTCATGTTCTTACCCATTTCTAAATCACACAGCATAAAAAAGGCTTAAGCAACATTATGTGAACTTGTTGGGAATGAGGAACTTGAACCCCTTCAGATGTTGTTCACCTACAAATTCCATTACCTCTAATCACTGGAGCTGGCTAGGTTTCATAAATGTTGGGGGTTCCAACAGTATCTGGAGGGGCATATTACCAAACTCTGTTGTGGAGTGACAAAACAAGAAAAAAGGAAGGCCTCTCCTTTCATGTTTGCCTCTTCCTCCTTTTAATCCCTCAAGTATTTTCATGAAGCAAGAGTGAGAGAAGTATGGTGACCAAACAATGCTTCTTGAAGAGTCCGGGCACAACCGGGGGGTGGGGGTGGGGGAGAAAGTGGTTACTGTTGCATATTTGTTCCTTTGACATACATTTTAAAATTATAAACAGGTATGTTATCCATACTTGACATTCAAATTCAACTTATCAAGTGAAATATGCAATAGTGATAACCTGCAGAAGATAAATTAGTCAGTTTTATCTACTATAGGCTTCGCCAAAATCTAACAGTCAGTAAGAGAATCCACTTGACCCATCAAAATTCAATCCTTTCCCAGCTGCATCAGCCGTATATTTATATATGAAAAGGAAGTTGTGCTTATTTTTTCTGGCTTGTGTGTACATGTACTCTTTATTATGGCAGTATCACACTTCTATTTTGACCTTGGTGACATAAAACATTTAGTAGGAACAAGTATTTTGAGCTCAAATACAAATCTTTACTGCTACCATGATGGCAAGTACTGGGTTGCTAATAATCTGTCTCAAACTGGTGTCAAGTGAAGGAGTAAGTCTATGCTGCACCAGCTTATCATTAATTCCTCTTTCTCACCTACTGCTCCCTTGCTGTGCTGCTGGGAAAGAAGTTTTTGAGATACTAGGACAGAGCCTGAAGTCATTTGTTTGATGCCTCAATAGCAGGGCCATCTTGAGTGAAGTTCAATATGGTGGATGAGACAGTGGTCTCTCTGCCTTAATACTACCCTGCATCAACCTGATGTGCTATTAGTATCTTTGCGTGCATGTAATGTAAACTTCAAATGACAAGGAAACTTAATTCTAAAAAAGGCAGAAGGAAACTTACATTTTCTACTGCAACTGTGAATGAGAAGAGAGGCTGTCATCTATTATGAAAGCTGTGTAATTATACTTGGAAGAGCACAAACTCTTATCTTCCATTGAAAAAGCAAATATTGTGTTTCTAATGCTGTTATAGTATTTTACAAAACAGATACCAAGGTGGTAATATCAAAACAAGTAGTGTAAAAATGCGTTCATTAAAAAAGGTTGTTTCCAAAGCTGTGTTGTAGATGCTACCCTATAAATAAATCTAAATTTCAAAAACAAAAAGGACCTTTGTAAGATAACATGTATAAAACAAGAAATGAAATGTGATTTTATTTAAGGCAATACTGGGCTACTTCACAAATCACCACCTCAAAAATATACACTGCTCCACACTACTAATTTTCTATCACATTCACGATGGGTTATTCAATACCAAAATGTTGTTTAAAATCTTCAGTGTCAGCAAACTATTTAAAATTTACATTTCCATTATATTATGGAAGTGGAAGAATTTCGATCCAATTAAAAGCAATGCAAATGCAGTTATAGGAAAAAGTTTGAGTTAAGTACATATGAATACCATCCAAAGATATTGGATGTTTCAAGTTACAAACACAACTGTGTCAGTATGTATTTTAACCAATTAAGTGTGATCTGATCAATCTCTTCTCCTGTACACACATTTTATGCAAAACGAAACTGGATATGGTAGACTTACCTAGTTGTTACTTTAAAAAGTTTAAAAGAATATTTTAAAAACTGGATCACTTAGTTACAAATTAAAATTCTGAATATAAACGTGTCATTTAATATTTCAGACTTACAGACTGCTAACAGCAGCAAATGATTTACAATAATAAATATATACAAAAATGTATCTACAAATAAAAAGTACTGTTATATATGAGCTGTGACCCAGTGAAAAATACCACAGACAATACACAAATATTTGAGTCATGGAAAAGGACAAAAATCTGATAAAAAATTGAGGTTCTGATCAATTATTTACAAAACTGAAACAATGATTCTGTTCCAAGTCCCATAGGGATAAAAACAAAGAAATTTACATGACAACTGTCATGATTTTGCTAGGTTAAATCACTTCAACAGAAAACCTTAAGAAATAGTCTCATGCTCAATGGCTTCCTACTAAAATAAAATAAAAAAAATGCAGTACAGGTCATGTTTAGACATTAATCATCAGAACATAGAGTCCACACATATTACCCGATTATTTTGTAACCTCTGGATTTTTCTCCAAATGTCCATCAAGTCTTATAAGACTGACAGTAGGTTTCATTTCCTGAAGCTGCTTCAACACAAGCTCAGTGCAATTTTTAAAAGTCTTATCTAAAACTATTTTTACAGTACCGCTACACTGAAATTGTGATGGGTTAGCAAACTGTACATAGATTTCACTTTCAGAACATGATCGTGTTCTTGCAAACGAGGACTTGTCATTAGATTTTCTTGAGTTTGAATGAGAACCTTTTCTGGTTCCACAGCTATTGCAGGCTCTATCTGTAGGTTTCTTTTGCTTCCCTGCAGACTCTTCAAGGAACTTGAGGAAAGATACTTCAAATCCCATAGGCTTAAATGAACTCCAGTCAAAAGATGCGGATTGCTCTTCAGCAGTTTGAACAGCGACAGCAGTTTCCTCCTCTCTCCGCACACTACTTACTTCAACAGCTAAGATTTCTTCCTGTTTCTCAACTTTCCGCTTTTTAATCTGAGGATTTTTTTCTTTGTTTGCTCTTTTCAAGTTGCCATTTACGTTTTGCTTTTCTGAAAGGCAAGAACTAGTTTCTTGGCAGTCATTATTTACATCAGAAGGCTTTCCATGATTCTCTGAACTTGTGAGGTCCTCATTAACAAGTTTGGTAATGAACATTTCTGCAAGCTCATCCACTTCATCCTTCTCACTCTTCTCAGGTTCTTTTTGTGCCACTGGTGTAGAGGCTCTCAAGTCCTCAGGGGTTTCAGACAAATGTGGCTGCAATTCTGCATCACACGTTTTGTCCTCAATTGCCTCATTTTGTGAAGATACTTCTTTCTCCATTAAATCAGGATGTTTGTTTGAGACAATTAGGATATTTCTGTGTTTTGAAGTATATGCTTTAGACAACTTGTGACATTTATAATGTCTAATTATATTATTTTCACTTGTGACAACTGACGAACAGCCTTCTATCATACATGGATATTGTGTGACCAAAGGGCTTGAACATTCTGATAAAGCATCATGCCTACTCTTTATTGAGTATACATACTTGCCACATTTCAAAGTATATGCCTTATTTTCAAGGATCTGGCCCATTTTTGAGTTCTTGTTTTCTACAATTATAAGTTTCCTTCGCTTAGTCCTAATTGATATTTTGTTTCCATGCTTTCCTGCCCTATATTTTAATCCTTTATGCTTAATTTTCATGGTTTTTTCCTGATTAGCCTTACTTGAAATATTTTCCTGACCTGGTGTCAAGAATCGCCTCGGTCTTATCAGATGATCTTTATGCCTGTCATTATGCTTATTAAAAATATGTCGTAGGAGATTAGACCTTGTTGCATAAATACGATCACAGCCTTCACAATCACACTTGTACATGCCATCCTCTGTTTTTGTTTGTTTTATCTTTATTCCATGATCCACTTCTAAATGAGTAATATAATTAATATACATTGTAAAGGATGATTTACATTCAGACTGATCACAAGGGAATCTTCCAACATCCAAGGCTGACTTCATGCTTCCAATTTCCTCAGGAGTCATTTCATGAAGCTTCATGTAGTGCTGAATAAGACTAGTGACTTCCTGAAATATCCTTGAGCAATTTCTCACCTCGCATCTGAATTCTTTTACAATTACATTTGTTTCAGTTTCATCACAGTCTTCTTCTTTACAAAACTCCTCATCTTTACTCGGCTCACTTTCTTCTTCTCCTTCCACAGAGAAGGAGGGCAGATCAGATTTGTGTACAGCTTGATAATGAAGAATCAAATTCTGCTGTATTGTAAAAGCAGCAAAACAACCTTGATGTACACATCTGTAAGGTCTGTAGGGACTATAACTAGTAGGAAGTTCTAAAGTTTTACATGCTGGTTTGGGGTGTTTTTTCTCCTCTTTTTCTTTCCTATGTCTTCTAATTTTGCGTACTTTGGGTTGTACCTGTATGTTTTTTAGTGTGGCAACATTATAAAGTTCAGGAGGAATGGTAACCACTTGTGGAGGTTTTTCCATTTTTTCAGAAACATCTGGAGTACTTTCTGGCACCACCTCCTCTGGGATCACCCTCTCTGGCACCACTATTTCTGGCACTTTCACAGATTCTATACATGCTTCTTTCTTTATTTCAAGATCTTTAGTCAATTGTGCTTCCTGTGCACTTTCCATTAGCACACAAGGTATACTCTTTAGTTCAACAGGCCTTGGTGTTAAGTTTGCAGTTTTGTTTTGGGATCTTCTCCCATAGGGTCTTTTTAGTTTTAGTTTTACCATTTCCTCTGTTGTAAAGTGATGTACCAGCTGACAGTGGGCCCGGAGGTTAGAATTTCTTGTAAATGTTTTTGGACAGGTAGCTACAACACATTTAAAGGGTGCATATTTCAACTGGTGTTTCTTAATTTCCAGTATCATTTCTGCAGTGTATTGATGTATTTTGCTGTAGTGTTTAAATAATGCATCCTTGGTCATAGCACTGTAACTGCAGCTTGGGGCCTGGCACATAAAAGGTTTATGGGCTTTTTCACTGAACCGATTATGCGTTTCTGAAGGTGGCTGGACAGGAGAAGTGCTCTCAGTTGTTACAAATGGAACAAGAATCTGTGGTAGTGAATCTGCTGGAAGACAATGAATTATACTGTCAAACACTTGACCTGAAGTTTCACTTTCTAACTTCAGCTTTTTCAGACCTTCTAATATTTCCATAATCTGAATATCATCTTTGTGAGAGGTGTCATACTTAGAAGGGCTATTTTTATCAAGGGTGACATTCTGTATGTCTGCTATGTGTTGCGCAAGGTTGGATGGTTGAACAGTTTGTGAAGGGTTTTCTGATGTACACTCAGGAGTACTGATTTGCTGACTCTGCAATGACTCAATCGACACTTCCTGGTTTTCCATTTTAACTTCTACCATCTGAGAGTTCATAGCTGTTTTAATTATTTCAAGGGTCTTCTCAAAGTTTTCAATTACATTCTGCTCTGAAATCTCCAAATTGGAATTTTCCTGAATGCAGGAATCTAGAGTGACCTGAGAGTTGTCATTTTCAGATTTCACTGATAAGCAAACTGTTTCTTCATGAGTGTCATGACTAGTATTAAAGTTCTCTTTGACACTGGCAATTAACTCGCTGTCCACATCGCTCAGTTTTTGTGTAAGATTTTCCATTAACACTTGAGATTCATATTTTGTCAATACATTTGACTGGAGATTCTCTGTCGATATTTGCACATTTTCTTCAGCATTTCTGGCTAAAAGCCCCAATGTTGACAAATCATTAATTACTAATTTCTGTGAAATGTCAGTAGCAGCTTTCTTCTTTTTCTTCGAACCACCAACCCCCTTTTTCTTTAAGTTACTCAATTCTGAATTTTTGATGCTGCTTATGACTGAAATACGTGAAGTATTATTTCCAAAATTATGTGCTGTGGCAGTAGAATTAGAAACGAAGTTGGAACATAAGCCATTTTCAATAGTCTTAAGTATTAAGTCATCTGGAAATACTGGTAAGCTGTTGCATTCTTCTACTGAGGAAATTTTGGTGTTAATTGTTCTGTTTTGGTCTGATAGCAAGGTAGTTGGTAACGAAGGTGACACACCTGGATTTGGCAAAACTGTTGCATTTATTTCAGTAGTACCAGTGATACAGCTAGTTGTAATTACATGTGGTAATATTTCTGTAGAATCAAAAGTACTTGGAATGCCTGCAGTTTCCAAGGCCTGTTTGATAATTTCATTTCCTTCTTCATTTTCACTTGCATTGAAGGTAGTCGTATTAGTCCGTGGAAACAAGTTCTGGAAAAAAGCAGTTGACCGATTTTCAGTAGCCAGCAGCTGAAGGAATGATGGCTCTTTAAAACACACTTCTGGATTAAAACTTGGCTCCTGTTGCTGCTGTAAGCTCAATGCATTTGAAGAAAGAATCATACTGGCAAGAAGAGAAGATTGTCCATTAAGCTGTAGAGCTTCATGAGAAATTTCCGATTCATCTAGGGGCTTACAATAGGAGCGTTTAGACAGGTGGCCACCAAGTGATCTAGGATTAGAAAAAACCCTATAACATCGACTACAAATAAATTTGCCATCCCTGATTATTGCTGGCCATTTTGCCCGCTTGTTATGCTTTGGCTTCTTTTCTTTTCCATCTGGATCTCGCCTACGAACCTTCTTCACTTTTTCTGAAACAAGGAGTTGCGGAGTGGTTTCACTGAAGTTACTCTCATTATTTACTTGTGAAGGGAAGAGCACATCAACACTTTCCTCTTTTGTAAAAGCAGAGTTATTGTTTCCTTCTAGGGAGGAAAAGTGACTGGTATTGTTCTCCATTTGTGAGAAAACAGAACTCGGACCATTATCAGCAAGAGAAGGAAAGAGAGAAATTGGACCATTTTCTGAAGGTAAAGGAAGGAAAGGATCTGAACCACTGTCAATGTTCAGAGGCATAACTGGTTTTTCTAGTTCGTCCAGCTGTGAAGGTAAAGTTGCACTGGACAAACTTCCCAATTGTGCGCCTAATGTATTCTCTGTTTCACTTTTAATATGGGATGATAGACCTATATTTATAACATTTTCCATGTTGGGTAATAGGGAATTAGTCATACTTTCCAGACGTGTTGGAAAAAGGGCGTTAGACAGCTGCTGCAGTTGGCTTGTACAAGGGGGATTTGAAGTGGTCTTGGCTTGTTGAAGAAAAGCATCACTAGTGGGAGTAGATACTTGTGATGGTAAAAAATAAACAATTTTGCTATCATTTGACGGGTTTTGCAAACTGCTTGTTTTTTTACTCCTTTTATTCTTGCGCTGCATCTTAAATGCAGCATATTGATCAGGATGGGCTGTCTTCATATGTTTGCCAATGCTTTGGCAAGAATTGTAGACTCGAGTACATCCATCAACTTGGCAAGTGAACTTCTGAACTGGAGCTGCCAGTGGTATGACTGGAACAAAAGGAGTGCCGAGGCTGCTCTGGGTTGGAGCAAGTGCAATCCCTTCTAAAGTCTTTAGAGGCAAATTATAAAAATTGGGAGCAGTCTTAATGTTCTCTTCCATGGGAAGTTTGGGAGAGAGTAAATTTTGACAGCCTACTTGATTCGGCATGAAGGACATAAGACTTATCTCTTTTTCAGGGCTTTTTGATGCAAGAACTTCAGGTTCAAGTTTAACTGAATGCATGGAAACTGTTTGGGACTCACCAACACAGTCATGTTCCTTTCCTTCCTGGAACACTGCAAGATCATTACAAGTATCTTCAACGGCTGGGCATAACTGTTGGACTACAGAGGCACCAGTATCTATTTTACTACTCAAAGCAGGTAATTTACCTTTTCTTGCCATGTTTTCTCTAATTCTTTGGCCTAGAAGAGGCATCAAAACACTGCTGGCCACAGCTACTGGTTCTGCCTTTGCAGGAGGAGCAGGTATAGGTTGCTCCACACTTTCTACAGAGATTGAATTAATTTGTTCCAGTACACTAGCTGGCATTTTTGTTTCCTCAGTCCTGAGAGATTCATCTTTGAACTGATCCGACACATAATTTTCTGCTTTGGCACAGATATTTATACCATTTTCAGGTGGTAGAACAAATGTTTCTTTTGGATGGATTTCTTCAGCATTCTCATTTTCTTCTAAAGGTTGGGAAGAATTATTCTCACCATCAGACAGCTGTATTTTTTCAGATGATTTAGTATGGTCTTTAATATGCTTTTCTAATTCATTTTGGGAGCGGTAAACTTTTCCACAACCTGCAAATTTGCAGGTGAAGGTATTATAGTGCTGTGCTTCATGATCATAAAGTAAGTATGCTTCTGAAAACACTCTCCCACATTTCGGAAACATACACTTTGCCTTGAAGAGTGGGTGCTCTTTCCGATGACTCAAAAGTTCAGCATAACTATTAAAGCTAGATTTACATTTCATCTGGATACAGATGTAGGGTTTGCTGCCACAATGCATTTGTAAATGATCATTGAGGTGGGTAACACTTACAAAATGGCGTCTACAGTACTGGCAAATGACTTTTTTGCTCTGCATTTCAAGAAACCGTTTAGCTTCTTCATTGTCTTTATGACCTTTCGCATGTGCAATCAAATTTTTAAAGTATTTAAAGCCTTTCTTACACAAGCTAACAGGACATGTAAACTCATTGACAGGCAATGGTTTCTGAACTGGTGTTATCTCTGGAATGTAAGGTTTGTCTTTTTCAAAATTTTCATCATCAGAACCATCATTATCATTAAAAACAATGAAGTCTGCTGCATAAAGGCTGTTCTTTTTTATGTGCCGTTGTTCCTGCTTAACTACAGCATTGTTCTTCTTGTTCACACCAGTGGTTGCTGTTTTAGGTGGTCTTCCTAATTTTCTCAGTGGTTTCATTGCAGCCAGTCTCTCTTTACTAGACTTCTTAACATGTAGCGTGACATGCGGAACAAATGTTTCTTTAGAATTAAAATTCTGTGCACATATCGGGCAACTATAGATTCCATCCTTGTAGTGTTTCTGTGCATGCCTTACTATTCTATGTCCAAGGAATTCTTTGTCACACAGCACACAATATTGCATGTATGCTTGCCAGTTCCTGAATCTAGCAGATATGAACCCTCGCTCTCTCAGTTTCTTTATTTCTCGGTTTTTCTGCTTTTTATCTCTAATGCTTCTAAGTAAGTTTGTAGCTTCATCAAAACATCCAGAAAGTCCATTCACTAAAGTTTCTTTGTTTTCATCTTGGCAGTCCTCTGCTTTTTCATGCATTTCACTGTCATTCAGCTCATCTATTGATGATACAATTGATGCCTCTTCTCCCATCAATGCAAGACACTGACGTTTTAGCATTTTCCAGTCCCAAAATTCTGGATCGAAAGGCCATTGAGTTTTTAATACAAGTAAGAGCTCACAGCGTAATGAATTTGGTATTGGAAGGTTTTCTTCATCATATTTCTGGTCAGGCTGATTATATAGCATTTCAACAGCATAGTATGCGTCCACATTTGGCTCGAGGAGAAATTCACTCAGTTGACAAGCACGTTTAACCTCCAAATCATCAGGCAACAAACAAGATATAGTCTTGCAAATGGAAATCTTGACCTCTGTATTCTCACTGGCTTCCAAACGCAATGCTTTCACACAAAGTTCAATGCACGTTGCAAGTCCAGCAGAATCAATCTGTAAAAGAAGAGACAAATTAAAAAGTAATTTAAAACATTATGTAATGCTTACAATTGATTTCAGTAAATTCTATAAATGATTATTCAAACTCTTTCCCTTACATCTGAACATTAAACATACAATTAAAAAACCCTTATTTTTGCATTAAATGGATAATGGTCTACATTTTGTCAAAATTAATCACTTCTTCCAGGAACAGTTATAGAATTCAGTTTTTGATTAATGTGGTCCTGTTACTAACTCTTGAAAAAACCCATAATTATTAAGTGAAACAAGCAACTGCCTTACAATATCTAGAAGCACAAAAAATAATACTGGAGAAAAGAGCAACTTCTTTGTCCTTAATTCAGCTGTGTCCCGCAAGGCTCAACATTTATCAGAGCTATTACATGTAAATGCCATTCTCAAATATCTCTGGGTTGTATCCAGAGAAACGTAAGCATAAGGATGTTTGCATGAAAAGAATTTCACAACCCAAATTGCAGCTACCTGCATCCATCAAATAAAATGTTTCTGATGGCTGGAAGATGAGATGCTAGAATGGGAATGAATGAGCTGAAATCAGACAGCAGTATCATGTAGCTTTTCATGTGAAGGACACATGAAGAAAATCTACTTGTGCAAATGTCCTCTTCTCTGGATCCAACCTAGTATCTTTAGCAACTCTTGGGCAGACATCGCTATACAATTTAAGGCAGAGTCAAGCAAACTAAGGTCCCAAACTAAGGAATACAACTGACCTACTAAGACCTATTCCCTGGAAGAACTTCCACTTGCCTACATCATCCTGAAACAACAGGATGTGGAACTATCTCGCCTATACTTGTATTACCTCCACACTATAGGCTGTTCTGTTACAATTGTTTTATTATTTCATTGTTCCTTTGGTCTTGATTTCATGCTGGCCTGGTTTCTTGCTGTATTTTCATGTTTGCTTTTTAACAGTTGGAGGTTGTTTTGGTGCTGCTCTGCATTTGACTTTTTTTTTCTTTATTTTGTTTAGCTGTTGACTTCTAAGTTTTGAGCTGTTTTTATTTGTAACCTGGTTTACTGGCCTTTGGGCAGGAAAATAGCCTAGAAATATAAACATAATGGGAAAATAAATACTTTACCCAGAATGGTATTGAAACAGAGTGAGCAAAATTTGGCTGTATTGTACCCAATGCAATCTTTCTACTTCAAAAAACTGATGTAGGAGTCAAGGCCATCTAGAATGGTCAAAAGCAATCAAAAGCTCTCTCCCACAGATGGGCTCATCCTCCCTCCCTTTCTTTAAAAGATGTTCTAAGCAAATGGTTAGTGTTTTGGACATTTTTGGCAGCCAGAGATACTGAGTGCAAAGTGCACACTGTCATGCCAGCATTCTCTGAGACAAGAGGAAATTATGCTTCACAGGAACTTCTGACTGCTAGTTTACGCATGCAGATACCATAGTTGGAAGTGCGAAGAACTGTATTTTCATGAGGTAGGTGCACTATACTTTGCAAGTCACTACCAAGTGGATTTTCAATTCCACAGCATCACAAATAACCTTACTGCACATCCTTACCTCTGAATTGATTACTTTAATTAGGAAGAAAATGTGGTATACTGTCTTTGTTAACACAGAAAGTTGACGACATCTCTCTAGATATATTTGTACAGAAGGCTCTACCCTTTGCTGTAGTTTGCTCCAGAAGAGTGTCAGTTCCCTGAAAATTGAGATTTACAAAGTTAAAACTATACTAACATTGAAACACTGTAGTCACTAGAAGGAGGGGTGTGTCTTTCTCTCCTTTTCCCACTGCTCCTGGAAGTGGAAATTTCAAAATGCACACTTCCTTCTGGCAGAATGCGATGAAATACTTTCTCATCTTTTCACCCTCTCACAGTGGATTGGGGCGAGCTGTGAGAGATGTGGAAGGATGGGGATTCACAATGGGGAGGGTTGTGTGTTGGCAGGGGTAGCAAGTGGGCAGGGGTGAAGGGAGGGGGTTGGGAGTTGGCAATCAATGCAACAGAGGTGGCAGCCCCATGCCCTATAAATTAAGGTAAACAATTGCTAGTATGGCACCTTGGGAATTCCCTGCAGCTTCTACTTATTGGGAAATTTTGGAAACAGTTGGAATACAAAGAAAAATAATAGCTTCAGAGGCAGCCTACCTGCATTATATTTTGGCCAAAAACAGGAGAAACATTACAGTACATTTAAAATGAAGTACACTTCTATTTATATAAGAGAACTGTTTGACTAAACTATGCCTTGACACATGGAAAGCAAGTCCTTCTTTCTGAATACTTGAGATGGGGAAATTGGCTTGCTTAATGCATCTTGAGCAGCATAAAACTAAGAGTGATTTACAATCCATCATTCTTGTGATTGAAATCTTATTTTAATAAAATTTACAGAAAAATCCTGAATGTTAAATGTGCTAACATTTTCATGACTAAGCATTTCATTCCAAGTATTATGTTTTCCCACTCAATATCTATCTTATACGGATATAAATGGTAAGGATGCACGTTTCAGCGTTAAATATGCTCTGGCTTATGTTCACAAGGAACAGTCTACTAATCATTTCACTGCATAGTACTTGGAAATGTACTGGTACAATAAAATCTCACAATGATGAGGTAAGTATTTTAGATATTTTAACTTAACTTCTATTACACCAGTCTACTAAGAGCTGTAGAATTTGGTTCCTACAGAGGTAAAACTACGGTTGCTTTGTAATATTTGATCTACTATCTGATCCTTAATTAGGATAAATTACAGACACCAATGGCACTAGCTATCAGAAGTTATGATAAAATACTCAATTTTATAATATTTCTGTTCCATTACTCCATTTGTATATTTGCTGTATAATATATTCTAACTAACATAGTTCAAAGGATTCAAACCTACCATGCACAATACATCTCTCCCTGCTGCAATTGACGAGATAAAAATGCTGCACATAAAATAAGAGCACTCTTTTCATCTCCTTCAGATTCTAGATTACAGATCATTTCTAAAGCATCTTTGCAGTCTATATCTGCAATCTGAAGAGTGAGGAAAAAAAGATTAAGTAATTTGTTTTCAGTTAAAATATTAAATCTGATTACATCAAAACATGCGTAGTACATATCAGCAGTTTAAGCAATTGCTTTAAACATTGATAGTCTATGTAAAAACCATGATTATTTTTCAAAAAGAAAAAAAAATCTAATTTGTACAGTTTATACATTACATATATCATCTCAATGATCTCTTAAATTTATACACCAGCATCTTCTATTACACTTATCCAGAGAGACTAAAAATACTGCTAACACAGACAAAAATACTTAAGTCTCTATGTATATGTTTTATTAGTTTATGGGAGGAATTTAACGTCACACTCTTCTGATCCTTCTGTCAGTGCAAGCATTTCCGTTTGCCAAACAGAATAACCACTCACCTCTCCACCTTCTGAGTACTGTTCTGGGGACTCGCCTTACCAACACACATGGGTGGGCGGAGGGGAAAAGCCCCACTGTGCAAGCAAAATGTTTTGTGCAGGGCTTCTGCTGATAGGTCTTGTTAGGGAAATCCTACCCTATGTTTGTAAGGACCTGGACAAATCATTCCCAAATATAAAATAATCCAAGTGAAAGGACTCCAGGAATCAAAGGACTTAATTTTGGTTAAGAGATTGGGAGCAACCTCTGGGCTTCAGCAAGTTCATGAACCGCCTTCCTTTCCTTATACAGTACTAGAATCCCTTTCTTCTAACCCTTTTCAACTTTAACAATGCTGCAGCAGTGCATCTGCGCTGAGGTCAATGCCAGCCATGGTTAGAGGATTTGAAGGTGGTCAAAAGCTTAGCATTTACCAGGTAGTGTGGTTAATGCTGAAAGAGGAAGGGCATTTTAAAATATATTAATGCCAAATGGAGTCATTCTGTCATTTCTCTTCAAAAGCTCGAACAAGGCTGTCAGTTCCTTTCTGATTACTGCCAAAGAGGGTCTAACAGATATGAATGTTTCAAAGACTGACCACTGAGCATATTTAATTACCCCTTGTCTTAAGAAAACCCTTGTCTTCCCTGAAAACCTTAATCTCCCAGAATTATTCAAAATCATGAATTCCCTCCTAACCTTTCTATGCCCAATTGTTCCAATTTAAAGCCATTGTATCCAAATAATGGGTACTATACATTAACGAATAGACCCCCATATAATAAAATATGGCAAACACTTCAACAATTCTTTTTTAAGGGATAAGAGTCAATGGGTGGAATTCAATATACCACCAATGAGAGTATTTCTGCTTGCCAGATGGAACAATCTTCCTTCTCCTCCCTGCCATGCTGTTCTGGGGGTTCTCCCAACTCTCCAGGGAGGATATGAGGCAGGTACAGGGGAAGAGAGGGGGAAAGCTCCATTGAGCTAGGTGGAGTCCTTGTGCTAGCTTCCATGAATGGGGTAGTTGAATCTGGCCCAAGATGTTTTATACCTTACAGTTTGCACTGACTCAAGCTTAACTGTTCTAGAACACAAGTAATTCTTTCTTCAGAGAATGTTACAACATGCACTTCTGAACCATGTTTCCCAATACTCTTATTACTGATGTTTTGAGAAAGTCACAAGGCATATTTCTAAAACATACTTACCTCCTGCATTAGCTTTTCATTTGGTGACCCAGAACAAAGGCAGACTAGATAGGTTTGCTTAAAACTGCCTTTGCTGCTGATTTCTGGATTGTCAGAGCACACTTTTGCCAGGGCAGTTGCTTGAGTTAACTGCTTTGTTTTCATCAAATGCTTAATGCGCACATCCAGTAGCATAGGGCCTTCAAAGGTTAAAAACTGATTCACTGAAAGACAATTAGACATATTGTTAGCTCACCATGCAGTAAGTGTTAACACAGGTCTACATACCAGTATTTATCATGAAAGGCAAAGGCACTAACTGTTAGAAGGATTTTGAAAGGGCCCAACTTGACTACAGTAAACCTATTTCAATTTTAAAAAAGCAAGCCAGAGCTTCAATTCTTCCCTCTGATCATCAATGTGGTTAAGAGTTTGGACATGATTTCACTGCTGTACATTCCCTCCTCAATCCCTCTCACCATAAGAGTATAGAAGCTCCTGTTCTGTCACCAGTTATCATGAAAAGAGAAGTAGAAACATGGGTAAGGGTGTTCATAAACCCAAATTCTACCTTGATTCCTTCTCAGCGACAACATCTGAACAAACCCTATGATATACCAACTTTTCTTAATTATGGTATGGGAAATAAGTGAGATTACCTTTTTTGCAGTAATATTATTTGTATTTCAACATAATTTACTTCAGAGAACACAAGCTATAATGAGGGGAGAGGGGGCTGAACAACCTTCTTAATGAACAATTTATGCTGCATGGTGTCAAGGTAAGATTTCATTCGGCACACAATTGTACAAATATATGACTACAGGATTGGTAGAACCAACAAATAATCCTAATAAATAAGACCACAAACTAGTCTGCAATTATGTATTTTTTTATAACAGGAGAGGGACTGGAGGGGCTACAGAGGGAGACAAAGAAGTATTTCCTTCCTGCAACAATTCATTGTATTTTTATGCTAAGCACCAGATTCTGGCACCCTACTTGGTTTCTACACTGGGTGCACAGTAGGAACAGTGTTCCATTCCCCCTCCACTAGCTCATTCACTGCCATGGAATTCCATGCACCCTCTGACATGCAGTTCCTTATCACCTATGGCTCTCAAGCTAGCACTTACAAAGAAAGCTGCAGCGATGAACATATATAAGAGCCAGTGCCAGTGGCATAGCATGGAGAGGGCAGGACGGGGAGGGTCGCAGCTCCAGACACATTTCTTTTGAGGGTGTGCAACTAGGCACCCCCAAAACAGGTTCCCTCATCGAAGGAAGCAGCACCCAAGCCCAGCCTTTGGGGTTGGGCAGCGGCTCCTTCTCCTTAGGGCCACTCTAGGGCCAGCTGAGAGGGATCTGGCGTACAGTGGTGCCTCGCAAGACGAAATTAATCCATTCCGCGAGTCTCTTCGTCTTGCGGTTTTTTCGTCTTGCGAAGCACGGCTATTAGCGGCTTAGTGGTTATTAGCGGCTTAGCGGTTATTAACGGCTTAGCGGCTTTAAGAAAAAGGAAACAAACTCGCAAGAACTCGCAAGACGTTTCGCCTTGCGAAGCAAGCCCATAGGGAAATTCGTCTTGCGGAACGACTCAAAAAATGCAAAACCCTTTCGTCTAGCGAGTTTTTCGTCTTGCGAGGCATTCGTCTTGCGGGGCACCACTGTATGAGGGATCTGCAGAGACAGCTTCCTTGTGTGGCGGCCCAATGCTGCAAGCTGGCCACACCTCCACTCCCGGGGTCAAGCTTGACCAACAGGCGGAAGTGTTGGAGAGGTGGTGGTGACACCCCTCTCTATTGCTGGGTGGCAGCATCCTTGTGCAACAGCCCAAAGCCAGTTGCAGCACGGGTGGAGGGTAATGACTGCTATGCACACCTATGTGAACAAGGGAAGTGATGAACTGGGGTGCACACTGCAGTGGGACCAAATTGTGACCCACCTTGAAACCCACCTGGCCGGGCTAGGTTCCATCAAGAGAGACACTCCAGATATATTTTAAGTTGCACATATAAGAACCAAATTTAAAATTACGGTATTTAAAATGTTTTTTTTTAAACAAAACAAAACAAAACAAAACAAAAACAAAACCTGATTAAAACCTACTTGTTTTTCTCACATCCGCACACACTCATTTTTATATTTACAAAGAGATTATAGACATTGGTCTTTAGAAGAAGGGTAAAATGAGAGAGAAATTGGAGAAGAATCCAGATGGCTTTATATATAAAGTTATGACTCATCTATAGAGTCTAAAGGTAAAAAACAAAAATAAATCAATAAAGCTAAGATGCGAAAGTTAATTAAAAAAGATCCACCAAAAAGGTTACGGAAATAGATTAAAATCAATGTCACTGCAGCCTGTCTGGATTAAGTAGCTTTATAATATGAAAACAGATATTCTTGCAGATAAATTAATCGTTCTAATTACTTTTCAGAGAGCAAGCTGATGAAATGGGACGAAAGAGGCAGATTCAGTAATATTACGGCTACAAAAAGCCAATTGTGATTTATGATTCAGAGGTCAATCTCATCTGAATTCAGCCATAAATTATTTACAAAGATACTTTCCAGTATAATAATATAATATTATATATTATATAATAATAAATAATATTTTTAAACTAACACACTGATTAAAAACAGGCTTTATCAGTGATATCCACTGAATGATAATACAACTCACAATAATAATTTCAAATACAAGAAACAAACACGTTTTATACTATCTTCCAACATTAGGTACATTGCTAGAAATGCTCTTTACAACTTAGGAAAGAGTCTTAAATGCAATTAATGAATATCCCTATAATTCAAATTTCAGAAGCCAGAGAATAATATGTATTCATCAACAGACAAACTTGCCTTTTGTCCGTTCTTGTTACGGAATCTCAGGCACATAAAAAGGTATAAACCCAATATTAAGTGTTAAAATTACTACATCAAAACACACAATACAGTATCAGTCCAATGCAGCTAAGCACTGGCTTACATTCTAGAACATTACTACATTAATGCTGCAAAGCAAGAAAGCTTCACTGATAACAATGAGGCGTACTTTCAATTAGACTTGTTTCAGACCAAACTGTAAGGTGACTGAACTTTCCACTTTAAAATGTGAAATGCAAACAGGGCGAAACAACAATATGTGATCAGTAACTGCCCATTAAATATTTAACACCAATGTATGTGTGAATCAGTAAAGACTAGTTAATATTTACAATTAGTATTTATACCTTAACTATGTACTTGTATTTTTGTTATAAAGCCTTCACAATTAAGTTTCTAAATTTCATAAATTAAAATTGTGAATTATATCGTCAATTAAAACTATTCAGCCAATTTTATCTTCATGTTTTTGAAAAGTGAAACAGTATGTGCACTATTTCCCCATACCATTTAAGAAAGACAAAGTTTTAACTTAAGTGAGCATGGAAAGCAATTGCAACTTTGTAATTTTGGAAGGGTCAAACAAATATGTAACAGGCAAAAACTTATTAATAACAGTCTTCAATAAGTCTCCCTATACTGACTCGAAATGCTTTGGCAATGCTTTCCAAAACCGAATGTCAAGGTATATTTTTCATTAACTGCAGCAGCAATTCAACGAAGTGATGTGCCTGCATGGGAATGGTGAGAGAACTACATGTACATCTAGTTTTGTTTGATGTTTTGGTACAGCAGTCCCAATGGCAGAAGAGAAGCCTCTTCTTATACTGAACAGTGACTTTGGCAATGACAACAATTGTAGTGAATACATGTACAGGCAACTCCCCACTTGTGCAGGAGTTGTGTTCTGGGTCACTATAAGCCTGTTCCACCTCCATTCCAGGGCCAAAAATGATGTGTACAATGGTGGTTGTGCGTCAATTGGACACACACAAAATGGCACCACCTGTAATCCTACTCAGGTTGCACATGTAGTTCTCCCTGACAATCATATACTGCTTCCTTGATTTGCAGCCTTAATTTTTAATAGACACTTATAGCTTGCTCAACTAACAGCATTCCCCGACCTGGTGCCCTCCAGATGTTTTTGGAATGTAACTCTCACTAGCCCCAACCAACACCACCAGCGGTCAAGGATGATGGGAATTGTCATCCAAAACATTTAGAAGGCACAAGATTGAAGAAGGCTGACATAAAATAAGGCACTGGGCTAAATAAAACATACTCAGAAAATATGTATGTTTGGAGGGTTCCCAAACTAGAGAAAAAATGGGGAAGGTAATTGGATAAAGATAAATAAATAAAATTATTTAGACAGTTTTGGGATGATGAGGAATAAAGAAAAAGAAAATAGGCAAATAAAGAGCAATGAAACAAAGCAGTAATGAATGAATACGGCTGATAGTGACTTAGGACAACAGAACACTTTAATTACTTTCCCTTGGTATAATAGAGTCCATGTTTGTAAACCTGTCTTGTTCAGCCATTATGTCTATGTTATAAATAGTTCCAGTCACTACCTTCAACAATTTTTGGTACCCTCGCCCATCTGACTGAGTGTCTTCCAACATATATAAAAACATAATACAACATTAAACATTAAAAAACTTCCCTATACAAGGCTACCTTCAAATATTTTCTACAGTTGTGTAATTAATTATCTCCTTGACATCTGATGGGAGGATGTTTATTTATTTTGGTTTTATTTTATGTCTGCTTTTGTTGAACAGTGATCTATAATTGTATGTGGACTATGTATATTGTCATCAGATTCTGTTTGATAACACTGTTTTGCAGAATTTTGAATAAACGTTTCTTTAAAATTAAAATAGAAAAAGAGAGTAAACTATCAGGATCACTTAAAAGCATGCAAATGAGATACAAAATTGCTTTGTTTTGCCACTATTAAACCATTACTTTATAATCACTAAACAAAAAACCAGACAATGTTTATATTGTATCAAAACTGCTATGTTTCAGAACTTTTAACACAGCTATATTCAGACATTAAAATGTTTTGCAAATTTACTGTGTCATATCCACAGAAAAACCTTGAATAGATTTACAGAAGCTCTTTAAACACTGTTCTTTGGAGAACAGATGTTGATGTATCATCTTGTTTTTGTATGCTCTGTGTTCTTTGCTAGTTCTGCTAGCAATGCTCACTTGAAAATGCCGGACACTGATGCCCTTTTGCCTTTGTGCTACACATCCACTCCTATTTATCAGCTTTGCATTGTTTCTGGAGTTTTGGTGCCAAGTGAATAGAACACAAACATGATTTTTTTCAATCATGTAAGTCACTAGCCCCTGCCCCCATTCCTCTGAAATTTTGCACGCTCCTTTCTTATAGGCACCTCTATGATATATGCCATTTTAAAAAGTAGTTGCTCACAAAACCACAGGGCATAAAGCAAACCACCTTTAGTTCTCTCTGTCGCCTCAATCGAGTTTACAGGTGGCTAATACACAAACCTTTGTCTGTAATTTGGCAGGTTTCTGACCTAGGCTTACCTAGCTAATCCTCATGTCTACAATTTTTAGACCAAGTGTCCACAACACACTCCCATCCATTTGATCTAGGGAACCACCCAATAACAATGTCTTATGTAGATTGTCAGTTTATTGGCTCTTGTCCAGTCCATTACTGAGGCAAGACAACGGTCCAGTGTACGTCTTGGTTTCAGTATCGGTACAAACTGTGGTTAGTAGTAACCATCATTTGCCTGAGTCAAGCAATGTGACATTTAACTCTTAACTATTTTTGACACCATGGCAGAGGTAGGGAGAAGAGCAGACTGTCTCAGTTCACAATGGCGCTCCTGATAATCAAATCATACTTGAGAAGTTACTCCATGTTATGTGATTAGAGTAACTGCCTCACTTTGCATATTTAATTGTGCAACTTATTAAAATCAGCTTAAGTTTTAAAAAAAGATAATGACAAGCTAAGTAAGAAATTAGAATATATTTTCCTAAGCTATGCAACACAGGCATGCTTTCTTAACAAGAAATGCACACACAGGCCATTGTGAAATCTGGGAGAAAGTTATTTTAATAACTAGAGATGACAGTTCTGTATATGCAAAGGTTTAGTACTGTTCATTGTTAAACACAAAATGATGCATTTATTCAATGTTCATTTTCCATGCCCAATCCAAAACATTCATATTCTTTTCCATCTTCCACATGATTCAGTGACTAATTACATTTCTTATTTTTTAGCCTTGCTCTTCCACCCACGGTCCCTAATAATCCTTTAAACCACCGTGTTTATCATTTCAGGTAACCTGTCTTGCATTAACAGAGGAACATTCTCTGCTATCACTGAAATAAGATACGGAAGGACCTTGAGGTTTAAAAAAAGTCCATTTTTAACTCATGAATCGGAACTGTACGTCACATTAATATTATTAACATTTGGAGTTTTAATGTCAAGGTTTTAGTTTTCCTCTTGCAAATCCACAGCAACCTTTAATTTCACGGTACAGTTAACCTGTGAGCAAGGATGATCACAAGACCAAGTTATGCTACAAAAACACAACCATAACACAAATAACCGTCAATGCAGAAACAAGATCTATTTTAGAATACAAAAATAAATTTTAAGCCACTATAAACTTCACTCTGCTCAATCTTCAATGAAACCCAATATTTATCTCTCAGACGCCCACCCATACCACATCTAATACACTTCTTTATCAAAATAAATCCTCAATGATTAGTTTCCCCCTATGATGTTCTTTCCTTTCTCCTAAAGGCTATCCCTACTGTGCAGGACATTTTTAATTGTGTTTATTATGGTTTTATCATAGTTTTAGTTGTATTCTTACATAAATAAACTTAAGCCCAACCCCTATTTGGCAAGAGGCCTCAATTCAAGATTTAATATTGTGCTAACTAAATTTCTAGTGTGAGCAGCACTATTCATAAACATACCATTTGTATGTACTGTAGATGGTAATTAATAACAGCATGGAAATTAATGCAAACTTCATTCAGACCATTATAACTAAGGGACTAAACTCTTAAAGTACCTCAACACCTTGGTAACCCTGAAAGTGTCAAGGACACCATCTCAAACATTATGTCAGTCTTCCCAGACTCTATGGGTTGTATCCGACGAAGCTGTCCAATTTGCACAAGGATTTCCACTTCTACAATGAAACTTCTCCTCCCTCTCCTTGTACCCTGCTAAAATGTTCTGGAGGGTGGGGAAACCCCTGTAACAGATTTTTGGGAAGAAGGGGAAGGAGGAGGAATCTGCCTTTGCATGAATAGGACAACTTCATCAGATACAACTCTATGTCAGTATTTCATTTTAAATTGTGTTTTTATTACTTGAAGTGTTTGTCACCTGGTCCTTTGGGAAGAAATGTGAGATATGCACTTAATAAGTAAAATAAAAATAAAATATTCAATTAATTCCCAGATTTCCACACATTAAATAGCTTTGCAAGCAATTATTGGGGTGTGGCAAACATCACCATCCTGCTTCTCTTAAGACAAAGGAAGCTTACAAATACAAAGCAAAATCAAATTCTTTACATGCCTTCCCATCATGGCAGATGAGCACTTAAACTGTTTTCCAACCACTGCTTCCCAAAGGAGGCAGTAACAGCATTCCTCATATCTCTGCTATGCATGTCTTCATACTCCCACTAAGCGCAAGTAGTCCTTAAAGAAGAAGCGAAAGAAAATGGCCCTTGCAGCCATGTAACACGGCAGTGACAAATTTTAATATTTTGTACGCAGGTATCTCTGTGCCATGCCAATTAAATGCACGGGTAGCATTTTTATTTATTTTTGCCTTAATTCATGCATGCCACCAGCTGATCCAGCTGAACACATGGATCACTGATATGGGGAGCACCTAACTATTACTTTAAAGACGAGACGAGACACCAAGGAAGTATTGAACACATGATTACACTAGAGCTAAATAGTTTGCCCTCTGGATGCTTGCCACGGTAAGTATTAACTCACAAATCTTAAAATATGGGTGCTTCCACAAGAAAGCTTTACCATAGAAGAATTGACTCAAAAGTAATGGTGCATTTCTTTTTCTCCGTCATTAATGATCACGTATAAACTAATCACTATACATGGAATTACGAAGAATTTTCTTCTCTAACTTGCATTCTCTAATGCCATTTCTCATGGAGAGAAGAGATTTAAAAATGCTGTATCTTAGACACCATGAAGAAAGGTGGAATAATTGGGCAACAAACGGAAAACTATTGTCTATACAGTTGATTCACAACTTGCACAGGGGTTAGGTTCCAGGGACTGTGTGTAAAGCTGAAATTGCACATAGTCAGAACAACCCCAGAACCAGCCCCTGCATAACTATCTCTACCTTTCTGGAACCAGTACACAAAGTGGGCTTTCCCCCCGTGTAAGGCATAAAACTTTTAAGCTCTCTGCTTATTTCCAATTCTCTGTCTTCCCATTTCCACTTAATACAGGAAGATATAACAATTGGTAAATAAGGATACTTTTATTTTATAGTAAGAACTAATTTAAATACACGTAACTGTCAACTTCTAAAGTTGGTTAGTATCTCTCAGTTCACAAGTCTTTTCATGTAGCTGTAGCCTACCTGACAGTGTGTGAGGATTTCTGCAAATTCACCTTCACCTAATGATTATACTACGTGTTGGACAGGGGGCAGAAACTGAAGTGCAGAAGTGCCTTATCCTGCAAAGAATTAATAGCAGGGTTGGAGAACCTTTCGAGCTCAAAAGCCACATTCCCTTGTGATGAATCACCCAAAGACTGCCTGGGGCCAGGGGCAAAAGCAAGCAGACTAATGGATGCAACTCTTAGCTTTGTACAGTAGGCTACATTTCAGCCTACATTTCCTTTGTAAACTTACCCTCATCCTGATCCAGAGGCTCTTGGGAAAGGATACTAGAAAGAACTGGATTCTTCCAAGTCCCATTTTCTTGAGCAAGAAGAGATAAGAAATGCAATTGGCAGCTGCCACTTTCCATCAATTTTGTGTGTGCCATCTTGGGGAAAAAACACCAAAATAGTTTTAACAAGTATATGTACATCAAATTACATAAAACTCATAATAGCTCTTGGGCTTTTAATAATCAAACGTTTAAGTAATTTTTACTAAGCACGTTGCCACAGTTGACATGACAGATGTTCAGTCCTGAATGCAACACTGGTAAGAACTGTTAATGAAGAACAAAGTGGAAGCCAATTTTAAAGTAAATATACATTCATATCAGCATGCCTTTTTGAACAAGGATATTGCAGTACACTGAAAACATTGTGAAAAAGAGCTTCTTTTAGTTTTTATAGTTTCTCTCGGCCACTTCTATTTGCTCTTTTGAACTGTGACCATTTTCAATGCCTTTATCACACTGCATGATAGGAGAAGAGGGAGCATGTTTAAGTTGAATAATGCTGTTCTAAACAGAGGGCTGTTGTTTGAAGCTGGCTTGTTTAGCAACTGCAATTTTCAGCTACGATTCCTGTTTCCTAAGCTAGGATTCCTGGCTGTGCAGGAGAAGCAAAGGAGGAGGAGGAGTTTGGATTTGATATTCCGCCTTTCACTCCCCTTCAGGAGTCTCAAAGCGGCTAACAATCTCCTTTCCCTTCCTCCCCCACAACAAACACTCTGTGAGGCGAGTGGGGCTGAGAGACTTCAAAGAAGTGTGACTGGCCCAAGGTCACCCAGCAGCTGCATGTGGAGGAGCGGAGACGCGAACCCAATTCCCCAGATTACATGACTACCGCTCTTAACCACTACACCACACTGGCTCTCATACAAGTCCAACTCTTTGCTCTGGCTTGCTGAGTCTCATCCACCTAGCTCTAAATCACAGCTTAAAAGCATTTGGTGTGAACCAACCCAAAATGAATGTTAGCTCTGAAAATAAGACAATGCCCTGTCACCTTCTGTCGGAGTTTAACTGCTAATTATCTAAGCTCTACTATCTTTTCAGTTGAATAATAATACCAGAAACAGCTACCAAGCGCTCACATACTCTTCTATTCAGGCACCAGTGTACTAGGTATGCAATCACAGCATTGAATGATAGGAAGCTGGCAATCATATGGTATTCCTCAGGAAACCACAGATGAAGAAAGGGAATGCAGCTTCATACAGCAGAAGGGTCTCTGTAGGCTACAAAAATGGAATTCCTAGTCCATCTACCAGACACAGTGCTCTCTTCTGTTTGAGAACTTTGAAAGCATTCTGTGCAAAACAAACTAAATATGTTAAAAGAAGGGAGAAAAGAGATGAAAGGAGTCGTATCCTTTTAAAGCTGTGTGACAGGTAGGAATTCAATAAATGCAACAGTGGGCGACAGTCACGCCTTTTAAATTTCTGCCTGATATGCCGCCTTTTAAAAGGCATGGGTGGCTTCTCCAGTTGATGATCAATGCTGTACTGTACATGGAATTTCAAAGGATATTCCAATGTCCTGTCTGGTGGACCTTGTATAAAATCTTCACTTCTCATCTGTAGAGTGCAGGCTCTAATACTGAAGAGTAAAAGCGCAGCACTTCCCATTAATTTTCTGGCCACGTAATCATATCTTTGTACCATTCTTCCTAATTCCAAATTACAATCTTCCCTGTTTCTCTGTTAAATTGAATAAACTGAGCAGGGATTGAAATGGGTCTCTAAACTATGTTAGCTGGATAGCATCTAACGGATTGAGAAGAGATAAGAACACTGAGTTTTCGAAGTGCTCACTGCTATCTGCCTTTCACAACTCACTTCCAATCATACTTTTTTTTAAAAAAACAACAACTAACAAACCTACAACTCAAGGGGTTACGCTAACAGATTATGAAGCAGGATCATACACTAAGCAAAATAACTTGGTGGGATAGAAAGCATACTTTTTAAAAAAGGTACCGCAATCAAAGAGTTCCTGCACTATTTTGTTCATATTTTTATACAGATTTGTGTACGTCAATACTATTCTTGTTCAGAATACGGAGGATTATGATAAGAACTGTGGAGTGCTTCAAATTTTCAATTCCCCTTTATCACAAAGTTTCTTTACCTTGCCAAAACACAAGGGGTGAGTTAACTTGAAAAAATGGAAGGCTACTAAACTAAACCAAACTTTCCATCTGAACAATTTTCCCCTGGCAGAACTATAAACCATCATCTCACTGAGATTTAGATCACAATAAATCTGAGAGACCGACACACAACAGAACTCATCACAGTAGGAGAAACACGAGGCACCAAACATTATATATTTATGACTCCAGATGAATAGGTTGGTTAAGAAACCAAATTCTTACCTGAATAAAGGACTGAAACTCTTTCCATTGGTTTTCAGGCAGTTCAAGAGGCAGGGATAGCAGAAGTTCAGCATAGCTTCTGAAAAAGTAAGAAAGATTGCAAAATCAGTTAATTTCTCACTGCTCACAACATGAGTGGGGAACCTCCAGTACACAGGCCTAATTGGATCTGGCACGGATCCTAATTTGGCCCATGAGGTAGCGTCTCATAAACCACATTCACCTTGTGTCATATGTGATGTCAGCTGTGGGGCAAGTATTCCCAGTGCCAATAATAAGGTGTCTGTAATTGCCAGTGAGCCGATTGGTGGTAAATGATCACCTTTAAACTTTGACTGGTATCAATCACCTGATGCTGTTATGATGTCAGGAGATTGGCAGTTGGGTGGTCCCACCTGTCAGAGCTGGCCAGCATGCAATGTTCGAAATCAGCTAGTACCAGGCGCTTTTTGTGACTGGTGCGGGCCCAATTGCAACCACGTGGAGATCTCTAGATACCAGGTTGGCAACTGACATCTCCATCTGGCTGGCCCGTCCAGCTTTCTTAAGCAGGTAAGCAGAAGAGCATATTTATTGCATTTATATCCCACCTTTTTCTCCAAGGAGTACATGGTGTATGTGTCCCCCCCCCGGCAGTTAAACCCTACAACAAGCCTGTGAGGTAGGTTAACAGGCTGTGACTGGCCCAAGGTCACCCAGCTTCATTACTGAGTTGGTATTTGAACCCTGATCTCCCAGGTCCTAGTCCAACACTAGCTGAATCTAGTCCCATTTCCTTTCACCAATGTATTAAAGACGTAAATCAGGCCCTCATTTACTATCTAAAAGAACTATCCATCACTATATACAGCATTATGTTCCAAAGTAGCTTGAAAATATAAAACAAGTGTACATAAAACTAATTATAGTATACTCACAGTGCTAAGCGTTCAAGCACCAAGGCTACATTTTCACATTCAGAGGTAAGGTAAGATCGCACTTTAACATAACTGTGGATAGCCTCTGTGTATACCTCCAGCAAAGGCAAAGGATCCTCAGATGTCTTCCAATTTTCTGCATATACAAGAAGCGTCTGTTGAGAAAACATGAAGATGGAATAATCAAGACTGGAGTCCATTTTTCCATTTTATTCACTGATATGAGACTTGACACATTTACCATTTTTTTCTCAACATTATACTGTACATTTTTAGAATCTACCAAGTGAGTAAGACTTTTCTCTTCCATGTCCCACCAAAGAGCATAAGAGAAGGAACATTTATGTGCTCTGAACCTCAATATGTTGCAAAGCACTGTGCTGACATACCAGACACAGCAAACCTCAGACACAAATGGGATTGAGAGACCGCACATCACAGCTGCTCTGCACCACTATTAATGCAACAGCTCCAACACAAAGCTGCAAGCATGTGGCATCCTATTCCCTGGCTGGTAGCTGTTGCAACTGCTGCAATCAGCCACAGACATATTACCAGTTGTTGCACAGCAACTGGGATGTGATTCTCTAATCCCAATTATGGTAGCAGGTACTTAAGAACACTGTATTTGGGCCATATCTTTCTTGGGAAAGGCGTTATTTAATAGCAGGACTGGACAATTAAAATAGTGCATGATGTAGCTGGTTGAAATAATGTCACTCACCCTTCATAACAGCTCCATTGGACAAGCAGAAAAGACTGGATTTCTGATCTAGTGCTACAACTCTACAGGGAATTTTGTGAGTTGGAAAATGACCTATTAGCCTTACCTTAGGGACGAGGGACAGAGGAGAGTAGAAACACTAAGAAATATCTCTTGCACTTGTTTTTGGAAGTGTTCATTATTTCCTGATGAGACCAGTGTATGCAACTATGCATGTATTTGTGTATTTTGTTACTCAGCTTTCGTCAGCCAATTTGTAATAGTACAGAGCTATGCAGAGCACAAAAATTCCATTTTGGAGAAAGAGAGGCTCTGAGGTACATGGTGCTCAAGCTTTTGGTCAAGCATAGCTGGGCCTGGACAGTGAGAGAAAACTGTGCAGAAAACTCACAGCTCATTCAACATGATATGTAGAAGATAAATAAACCCTCTGTGTACTGTCTAACCCCCTCTGGCTTCTGAGATTTCCAGGTACTGCCTAGCTGTAGAATGATTTTTAAAAATGTCCTTCTCTTTAACAAAGCAATAAAGCTTAAAAAAAATTATACACTGAAATGCATGTTTACTCAAAAGCAAGTCCCACTGAGTGGAACTAACTCCTATTTAAGGGTGCATAGAAATGCAGATCTAGACTTGGTAATGTTAGAGCTAAACTTGGTAATGTTACTGTAGACAAGGGGTATCTTCAAATTCTGCCTAATGATTGGTACTGTGCCATGAGCAAGTGAGACTATTCTATATACAATTAAAAATGAAATATTAATCATAATGATTTTTGTCTCTTAATCCACTATAATAGCAGGAGGATAGGAATAATTCAAGAGACACAAATATAAATCACAAAGAATTCTCCTAGCACAGGTAACAATTGGAAGAAATAGAGATAGTTATGCAGGGGCTGGTTCTGGGGTTGTTCTGACTATGTGCAATTTCAGCTTTACACACAGTCCCTGGAACCTAATCCCTGTGCGAGTTGTGAGTCAACTGTATAGACAATAGTTTTCCGTTTGTTGCCCAATTATTCCACCTTTCTTCATGGTGTCTAAGATACAGCATTTTTAAATCTCTTCTCTCCATGAGAAATGGCATTAGAGAATGCAATTGGAAGAAATTTAAAGACTATTTACAGAAATATTGTAAAATTAATGAATGATAGAATGATGTTGGATAGTAATTAAGCGGTTTCCAGCTGTAATGCTCTAAGAGAATATGAAAAAAAAGGGTTATAAATGGGTTAAAATCTAATGGTAAGGATTTGCTGAACCAATAAATTGAAGTGGAATACAAAAAAGGGAGGTACGAGGAGGTCTGGGAAACAAGCTAAAGGAAAATAAGTAATAGAAAATATGTGTGTTTTTAACTGTTTTTATTTTGTATTTTTCTCTTTTCTTTTTCATTTTCACTGTAATATTTCAAAAAACCTTAATAAATATCTTATTAAAAAACAACAACAATGAACGCTTTGCCAGTGAGGCACACTAAAATGAAAATCTTAATTATTATATTTCCATGGCCTTTTTGTTTTGTTGCCCAAAACTAATATGGTCTATCACAAAGAACTACATGCTGTCAATTGCATGAATTCTGGGGGATGTTAGAATATTTTGTCAACTAGTGTGAAGAATCATTTAATTCTAAAAAACCAGTGTTACCAAATGGGAAGTAACCCTTATGAACATTAATAGATTGATGCCATGAAACAGAGGCTTCAATTGGGAAAAACCCAAAGGAGAATATTTCTACATAGAGAATAATACATGAACATCGTATTGGACCTTTTCTTCAAAGAATCTGAAGTGTGGCAGAAAGCATGTATTATCTATTAACATGCAATAATTTATACATAATAAATTTCATTTTACATTACTAATACATCTGAGCAGGATCACTAAGGGAGGGGGTATCAAACACCTGTGAAGGAGGACAAATCTGGCCCTCTCTCTATTCCCTTTCTTTATGAGAGCTAGGCCAATTGTTCCAAAGCAGTACTGCCAAGTGCAAATTCAGAGTCACTATGGACTTTTGCACCCAAAGAATTTCCCCGAGACTGTGAGAAGGATAACCTGGCTTCTGCTAATGTCAGAACTAAGGATCGCCAGGTTGCCACACCATGCCTATCTGTTCAAAAACACCGGTAAGGAAAGATCACCTAACCTCAACTGGATACAAATGCCTGATTACAACTAATCAGTTTATTTTGGCATTGTTAAATTGATCTCCCTCCTTTACCTTTTCCCTCCAGTCCCCTTCCCTTGTACATCTTGTCTTTCTAGTTTGTAAGTCTGAGGGCAGGGCCAGTATCTAACATTTGATTGATGTAAGCCATTTTGAGATACAATATTTGTCTGAAAAGCGAAATAAAAATATAATTAAATAATTACATTAATACATGAAAGACACCAGGTGAGTTCAGCCCTGGAAATCATTTTCACTTGTTAAAGCACCATCACACTGTGGTGGAGAGTTTTTGATGAGTTCCCTTCTAACTAGGCAGGCCTGTGTCTGGCCTGCCACTATAATGAAGATGCAAGGACTTGAGAGAATACAAGCCCCCTTTAATTTTACACTGTATACCGTTCTTTATCCAAGCTTCTATAAAGCTAAGAAGTACTCGACTCTCCCAAATTTCTTTGATTGCAACGGAGGCATAGCTAAAAGATAAACTGCCTTTTAGCTAGATGTAACATCTTTCATAAACACCCATCACAAAATTTCTTTTAAAATTGAAGGATAAATTAAGTATTAGAAAAGGGGGGGAGACTATCAATTGAATTGCTATAGATTTTCCTACTATTATACCCTATTCTGGCATTGCTGTGAGCCAGTTTGAACACGCCTTATCACAGAAAGGGGCATACACAGCTAGGGAGTCAGGAATTCTCACTCTTGTCACTGATAGTACAGTGGTGGGGAACCTCAGACCCATGTACCAAACATGGCCCACCAGGCCATTTTTAGGAAGTCATACCCACACATCCCACACCTGATACCATGCATGACATCAGATATGGTGTGGGTAAAGATGGGACTCCAAAGGAACCATCAGGAGCCAAAGTTCCTGGCTGTTCCTTGGATCCCATCCACCCAATCTTGTTTACATAATCTGATTTTTATTATTATTAATCACATAAACATCAATATCCATAATAGTGAATAAATCATAGTAAATATTAAGATATACATATACACAACAAATAAGGTGTGTGTGTGTATATATATATATATATACACACACACAAACTTATAATTAAGAGCTAGATTGTGTGTAAGAAAAAAGGTGGAAGAATGGAATAAGAACATGTAAAATGGAAATAATTATAATTTCATCTCATAAAATCAGGATTATCTATTTTATTACATCAACTTGAACAAAGGTTTTTTTCCAAAAGGCAACTGATAAAGTTAAATGCCATAGCTAGTTCACATGAACAAGGCCTGATACATTTTAGAAATACATAAACTGAAGCCTAATGCACAGTTTCAAATCTCAATTAAGATATATGATCAAGAGACACTGAGCTGATGTTGGAGAGCTCAACTACACTGTTGAGAACTCCTGAAAGCAGGAGTGAATAAAATCAACAGTGTAGTTGGGAATGATGGGATGGTTGTAAATGGTTTGACAGAGGTGAGGAGTAAATCCTAAGGCTGACTCCCTATTGACTATATATACAGATGGACAAAAACTGAATGTGATCCATTATTATAGGCCTAAATTTTAAAAAAAACATTCTGACCTAGAAAAAAGAAACTTAATAACAATTAATTAAATTCCACCCAACACAGCGGGATTTTCTTTTGAGCAAACATGCACAGAAATAGAAAGCTGTCTTATACCAAGTCAGCCATACACAAAAGTGGTAAACAAAACACAAACCTTGGTTTACCACTCGTAGTTTAGGAAGAAACCAATCATGAGTTCGGGTTCAGACATAACATTAAGACCAAACTATGGCTTAGCATCCGGAGTAAGACATTTCAACAGCATGCCACTTAGGTGAATGATACTTTAAGTGACACGAGAACCAGGCCAATATGTTATTTTTGTGTGATTGTATCAAAAAGTATCTGTTTCAAGCATGATTGTTTAAAGCAGTTCATGTCTTCCATTCAAATATGTAAGTTTTGAACTAAGTGGATTTCTGAAATGACAGTTTTCCAATCGACAAATTGGCGGAAACAGACATTTGATGGGCAAGACATTTGTGGAAAGAGCAATAGTGTGCATCCTGAGCAAACACTACAAATACCATGTTAGTTTAGAGTAACCTGATTTAATTGACAAAATCCAAGGGCAGTTAGAAAGATCGTTCAATCACAACAACACTGGCTCAAAGATACTCCGGAAACCCTGATCACTAGACTGACTCTTCCTATGCTCGTCTATGGGGGTAACATATGAAGGGAGCCTTACGACTAAGCCTCCCGGTGTGGGGCAGCTGCGCGCTAGCTCCCATGGGCAAGCTGATGGGTTATATTGAAATATTTGTGGCATAAGGGGAAACCGGGGCAGGACTTCCTTCTCTGGCACCTGGAGCATGAGTCCTCGAGGTACAACCGAGCGGGTGAGGGAGCCCCCATAGCCAGCCCCTTCCCTCGCTTCCTCCCGCTGGAACAAGCCACCCTTCCCCTCCCCTCCTTCACGCTCCGGCTTATTGCTGGGCCAGGGGCACGGGCTCTCCGCCGCCGCCATCAGCAGACAAAGGCCCCTCCAGACCCGAGGCGGCGGCGGCGGCAGCAGCAGCAAAACAAAGGGGCCGAGTCGAAGAGGGAGCCGCGTGGGGGGTGGGGAGCTGCCGGGAAGACAGGTTGTGGGGGGAGGGGATTCCGGGCCCGCGATGAACTCCCCTCCCGGCGAGGGGGGCGGGCCACTTCTGCTCGCCCGCTCCCTCCCTCAGAGCCAGTTTCGAGGAGGAGAGCAGCAGCAGCGCGGCCCAGCTCCTTCCTGCTCCCGCTGGAGGAGGAGGAGGAGGAGGAGGAGGCAAGGAGAGAGAGGACCCTCCCGCCTGCCCGCCCCGGCCCCGTCCTGACCTGGCAGAGCTGCTGACAGTACTCGGCGGCCGCCTCCACGGCGGGCTCCCGGCTCTCCCGCAGCCCCGTCTCCAGCTCCAGCAGCCGCCCCTTCAAGCGCCGCATATCCAGAGGGAGGAGGCCGCTCTCGCCGCCAGGGCCGTGGCTGCCGCTGTCCTGCTCGGCCTCCTCGTCCGCCATCTTCGCACCCCGCTCCGTCGCGTACGCAGCCCCCCTCCCCCCACCCTACCACTACCAACCACAACCAACCAACCGCCACCGCACTCGCGAGCCCTCCCTCAACGGCCCACCTACCCCCCCAACTCTCCCCGCGCGCGCGCGCAGGCGCGAGCCCCGTAAAGGGGGGGTCACGTGATTACACAATACCACGTTCCGGGGAGGGGGAATCACGTGCGGGATCGAAGGGGAGGAGAGTTCGAACAGGCAGTTCGCCCGCTCTTTACCCGTCCCCCCCCTCCCCAGTATTCGCAGAGGGACTGGGAAACGTGGGCTAGTCCTGTCACGTGCGTCTGCCGGCGCGCGCCTAGTGGCACAAATAGCCTCTTGACGCGCCTCGCGGACTTTTTTTTTGGGGGGGGGGGGAGACGGCAAGGAGGCAGGACGTCAACCGAAGAAGTGTTTCAGTTTCGCTCGCGGTCTGGCTGGTTTGGAGCGGCTTCGCTCCCTTGCACAGGAAGAGGCGGCGCCGCCACCGCAGACTTCAACGGGCAGGCGGCGCGCTTCTCGCCCGCTTCCGTTTGCCCCTCTTTTCTCTCCCTGGACACGCGCACCTGGCTGCAAAGTTTCTCGCCCCTCCGTCTGCGAGGGAGGCCAGGTGTTACGCAGCTAGGAATCCCAAAACCGATGCGCATTTATTGCTAGTCCGCAACTTCCGAAACTGTTCGACACGGCAGCTGTTTAAACTTTGGGGAAATTATTTTAAATACAAACTATCCTTTTAAGAAAAATAAAGGAACAAACATCCGTCGAATTTATTTATTTATTTACTTCCCGCCCTCCACCCTAAGGCAGGAGGGCCAGTGATGCAGCCCACACACTATTTGAATGGCAACGGTCATCAACTTCGGGGGTGGGGATCTGGCCCTTTCAAATATTGTATTGGGGTGGGGGCGAAGGAACCTCAGCCCCTAGGAGCTGGCTGCTATGCCTAAGGTCCCAGAGCAAGATACAGTATAAAAACAGCATTGAGAACAATTTTAAGCTTGCAAAGGTGGGTGCTAAAAACATTCACCTTTGCAAATATTACCTTTGCTTTCTATAGGTACGTTGAATTTTGAAGCAGCATGTGTAGGGGTGAGGTATTTAGCTTTTTATTTTAGCATATTCAGGGCTAATTTAGATTTAGAAAATGGTATGAGGGAGAGGATTTTTTAAACTTCCTTCCCCACAGCTGCTTTTAGGTGGGGAAACAGTTGGGAGTTGTAATTATGAATCCTATATTTGGGGGTGGCGCAGGACATTTTGTCGCCCCTGCAACACCATTCACCATCCTGCAGAACCAGGGCCCCTCCCTGGCCCCACCGTCACACCTGTACTGCTGCCAGTCCCGCCACTGCAACTGCCACGATGCAGTAGCAGTTTGGTGAGGGATGGCTGTGAGGACAAGGGTACTGTGACACAGACAAAGCCACAGTGGGGCTGGAAGCACCACAATGGGGCTGATGGCGGTGCAGTGGCAGGGGTTGAATCTGCTGGCCTGTATGAGATCTATTTTGGTCATCCTGCTAATAGATCCTGCTAACAGGCCTTGGTTCCCACAAAATGGGCGTACTGGTTTCTCTAAACAGAAATACCAAAGAGATAGAAACAGAAATGAAAAGGCTCTGACACCCATGCTGGCTTTGTGTAACAACTTTGCAAGGCACTTTAGGGAGAAAATCACTCAGATTTTGACAGAGCTGGATCGCATTCAAATCAAGTCTAACAAAGTTGTCTAGAGCACTGTCTGCTCCATCGCTACTGGATCAGTTTACATTATTGCAGCCTGAGGATGTGACAACCTGCTTGAAGACATGTGGCCATCCACCTGCCACCTTGACCCTTGGCATTCTGGCTTCTTCAGGGGGTTGCCTGGTGGGGGGGTCCAGAAAGTGATTAATGTTTTAATGAAGAAGGTGCCACCTGCCTTGAAGGAGGCAGTGGTGTGTCTCCTTGGTAAGAAGACCTCACTGGATCCAGAATTGTTAAAATAACTATTGTCTGGTGGCAAATATCCCCTTTTGAGGCAAGGTGCTTGAGAAGGTGATGGTGGTCCAGCTTCAGGAAGGAAACTAATTACTTGGATCTGTTCTACTCTGGCTTCAGGCCTTGTCATGACACTCAAATTTCCTTGGTCACCCTGGGTGATGATATTTATCAGGAGAGAGATGGGGAGAGTGCAACGCTGCTCATTCTCAATCTGTTGGTGGCTTTTGATACTGTTGACCACAGTAGCCTTCTGGAGCAGAAGCATCTTTCTGGTTCACCAGAAACAACCCCTTTTGGACATAAATAACCTGGCCACTGTAATACATTCTCTGGTAACTTACATACTTAGGATGACTTGGAAATGTCAAGTGGTTCAAAATGCAGCAAGCAGATTAGTGGCTGGGCTTCCAATTAGATCTCACATAACCCTTGTTTTAAAACTGCTGCATTGGTTGCCAGTTCATTTCCAGGCTTAGATCCAGATGCTCACATTAGCGTTTAAAGCCCTACAGACCCCCTCAGGGGGCAGAGGAGGCCCTATTAGTTGTTCCATTTCTCAGAAGCTGTAAAGTAAATAGTAGAGGTAGACTCTGCCTTGTAATATTATTTCTTTATCCACATATGTCTTTTATTTGGCCTTTATTGAGTAGATCTTCTTTCACCAGTAAAAACATAAAACTATACAAGGTACATAAAAATGGTCTCTGCCCTGGCATTTTTACTGCAGCATTGTTTGTTCACAGATATATTTCCTTGTATTTTCCACCTAATTAATATTGGTAGCTGGAAGCCTTGAGAGGGAATTGAACTCCCCTGCTGTTCCATCACTGATTGCAAACTACAGGTATAGTTGCTGTTACGAGAATATTGATTTGAATGGGGTATTACATACATTGAACAGGGAAAAACAAAATTACTTGGAGTGCAAATGAAAAGCTAGATGCATAATAACATTTCTGATTCACAAGTGGATTTTTAGAATAAAATGGGGAAAATAATAAGTGATTCTAAAATTAAGTTATTCTAGCAAAGGGAGTAACATAATGTTGCGAGTATAACCATTAGGTGCACTTCACGCAAAGTTTAGCACTTTGATTTGATTTTTAAAGATGGAAAATTGAGCATGCATTTAACTCTCACTGAAATAAATGGAATATAAAAGTGCTTAATGCTTCATTCAATTATTCTAATACTTACTAAAATTTATTTTAACACAAACATCTGTCTTTAATATAATGCACATTTTGTATAAGAATTCCATATGGTCTGAAATTATCTCCAAATACAGGTCTATTGTAACCTACAGAAAATATGCTTCCTTGCAATAGTGCTATCATGCTACCTGGCACTTTATTTTTTTTAAAGTTGCCTTACGTTGCAACCTGTTGTGGCCTCAAGGCCCCAAGGGGGGGGGCTGGTTTGAAGAAGTGGCAATTACTAGAAGAGCAAATGGAATTATGGTAAGCTATGGTGGATCACAAAAGGCAAGGCAGTATCTTTTGCCAGGACCCTGGACAGATCACAAAGGCAAAAATTAGTTGGAACTCACCCAAAGAGAGCTATTGTTTCTGCAGCCTGCTGTGACCTTTTCAAGATGCCATGATTTTCACCTGCTGTTAACCTCACCCATTCAGAAAAAACTGTGTTTCCTAAAGGCCAATTGCCTGAAACTGCAACCACTGGAAACTATGGTGAGGTCTCCGTGTGTGGGTCTTCTGTGTCTGAGGTGTCAGGTAAAGTCAAGCTCTCAGGTTTGGAAGGTTCTGGAGTGTGGGATGAAGGATCCCTGGGCAATACCTCTTCCCCTTCTGAGATGGAGATGGGGAGATTGAGGCTAGAGACATGACACAGCCTGACACAAAAATCTGTGGGACTCGTGTGCACATGTGTAGAACTATGTACTAAATATAAATAGGTCTGAATAATTTACCGTACTTGAATAATGCTTTCAAAGAAATAGTGGCTTGAACCCTGTGTGTAGCTTTCCACTCATATAATCTCCCATCCACAGAAGTGAGGAAAGGCAGTTCCCTCCTGCAGCTCCATTTGGATGACTCTGCAACAATGTGAGAGGTGATGGAGGATGCTGTAGGGGGAAGGAGGAATTGGTGATAATTGCTTCCCCTTCCCTTCTGTCAGAGACAACCTCTGGACCACCAGCCATTCCATGAATGAAATGAATATGAAATGAAAATGTTGCAATATGAATCAAACAGGGTGAGTGCAAAAAGGATGGTTTGAAACTGCATTATTTTTCATCATTTTAGGATCATAAAATCATACAATTGTAGAGTTGAGAGGGACCCTGAGAGTCACCTAGTCCAAACCACTGCAATGCAGAAATATGCAAGTGGCTCACATGGAGATCGAATCACAGCCTGGGCTAGGTTATCAGCACCGTGCTCTAACCAACTGAGCTATTCCCTCCTACAGTGATACCTCGGGTTATAGCTGCTCCCGGTTGCGTTTTTTCGGGTTGCAGACCGCCAAAACCAGGAAGTACCAGAATGGGTTACTTCCGGGTTTCGGCAGTTGCGTATGCGCAGAAGTGCTAAATCACGCTTTGCGCATGTGCAGAAGTGCCAAATCGCAACCCGCGCATGCACAGACGTGGGTTGCGAACGCTGCGAGTTGCAAACGTGCATCGCGCATGGATCACGTTCGCAACCCAAGCGTCCACTGTATTTTGTTATTTTCTAGTTTTCTTTTTTTTTAATAACATTTTATTGATTTTCCAAAAATAACAAAAATAAAAAAACAACCACAACAATGCAAAAACAAAATAAAACAAATTGACTTCCCTCCAATTCCTTGGTTCTATTATTTATCAAGATACTGCAGGTCCATTGTTAAATTTTTAAATGTTATTTTCTAGTTTTCAGCTCTTAATATAATGTTGCAAAGGGGAAAGAGACTACAGTGGTACCTCGGGTTAAGTATTTAATTCGTTCTGGAGGTCCATTCTTAACCTGAAACTGTTCTTAACCTGAAGACCACTTTAGCTATTGGGGCCTCCAGCTGCTACTGCGCCCCCGCCGTGCGATTTCTGTTCTCATCCTGAAGCAAAGTTCTTAACCCGAGGTACTATTTCTGGGTTAGCAGAGTCTGTAACCTGAAGCATCTGTAACCTGAAGCATATGTAACCCGAGGTACCACTGTACAGGGAGAAACATTCTCCCCCTGTGCCATTTTAAAAGCTGGTAGGAAATCTGGTGAAGTCACTGTTGTCTTTGTTGTTCTTTTTTTAATGGCTGCAATTACTGAAAATGGCAGTAAACTGTGGTTGACAATGCAAGAGAAAACTAAATGGTAAACATTGTTGATTTTTGTGCCCACCATCTGACCTTTCTTTAATATTACAATGCAGGAAGTGATCTCTTTAAGAGTCAAGGACGAGATAACATCAGTATGGTGGAATAGTAATTACATCAAGCAATAGTTGGCCAATGAGGAGACATCACAGTTGATCCATTGGCTTAGATCTAGGTGGGAGATATGACTGAATTTCCTAGTATAAAAGAAAAACACAGGGTATATTCCGTCTCAGTGTCGAAAGACAAGCTGCCGCTAAGTTTCCTAACCCTATTTTTTTCAGACTCTTAATCAACTGTCCTCAGCTGGAAAAGAAGAAGGGTAATGTTATTTGTTAAAATGGTTTAGATATGTTTATTAATATGAAATCTAATATAATCTCTTTTTTTAAAAGCAGACTCTTTGTAAAAAGACCAAGTACTGTGATTCTCTTCATAGACTGAGGCTGCAATCCTATATCCACTTACTTGGGGGTAAACTCCACAGAACTCAGTAGTGCTTACTTGTGAGTAACATGGATAAGGGTTGTTTTGCGAGATGCTTTGGGATCATTTGATGAAGACACAAAAACGTGTCAGCCAAATGGTGATCAGCTCTTTGTGTGCAATGTATCTCAGGCTCTGAAATGGGAGCATGGTTTAGATAAAAACCTGAAGCTGAAAATTCTTGCTTTTAAAAAAACCCAAAACACCAAATGTTGTGTTTGCTGTTGCAGGGGTATAACATGTTACTGTTTTGAGAGTGTTGTTGTTAGGGAGAACTCTCTCCAGGGATAGGCATAATGCAAGTGGAGCCACGTGAAGCTTTTCATTTTGATTCTCTTGCGCAGCTTATGCCACATAACCCTGAGTACATCAGTGGCCATGCAGTCTTCTCATGTTTTCTTTGTCTGGTGAGTCCCCTGGTTTTCAGGAGCGGGGTTTCTGTTCGTTTGTTTTTTGGTGAGGGGCAAAAGGCTGCAATGGGAATGGAGTGAAAAAGCTCTGTTGTACCTGAAGTTCTTTTGATACAAGCCATAGTTCTCTGGATCAGGGAAAGAGATCAGAAAAAGCAACTTTGGATGGATAGTGGCTAATAAGTAACAATCCCCTTGGGCTACTTCACACATTATATTTTACATCTAAACTTGTAAAGTGTGAATGCAACAAACTTACGCATCAAACAGGTTGGGCATTGGTTGCAACTATGTGACAGGGTAAAAACAACACCAGCCTGTGTTACTTACATATCGTGTTGGAAATGGCTCGACTAGTGAGTATTTAGCTAAGAGAGCAATACATATACTTTCTCAAAATTATCCCGTTTAGATCTCTGATACTGCATTAGCAGTGGAAGGATCTGCTAATTTCTCATTTTTCACAATCTTAAATTGGATTCTCCATATTCCTGCAGCAATTTTTCTTTTAAAAAAATCCACATTAGAATTCTTAAGCACTTTAGTGTGACTTTTTCCTGATAAACAATTTTTTATGTCATTTTGACTAATGCGCACATCTTTGCAAGCAATTTCTATTGGTATATGTATTTTTGTATATTATTTCCACTAATATATTTATTTTTATGCACCCTTCTACCTAAAATATGCATTTTTGGTAAACATTGGTTTGTTGGGAAAACTGCCTTGAAAATTTTAAGTACGTACGGATTTCAAAGGATGGCTATGTTTTAGTTCTCATATTGTTTCAAAAAGTGTGAATCTGGTAAATTCAGCTTTAAATGTAAACTTAATAAAATTGTCCTCCATCCCTATACTACATTTATAAAATTAAGGGAGAAAAATGGCTATTACCTAATACATTTTTTTTCTGGATTATTTCTGCAAAGGCTTGCAGTGCAACCCTGCACAAGTCTAGTCAGAAAACCCATTGTGTTCAGTGCGTCTTACTCCATGTTAAGTGTTCTTAGGACTGCAGCCTAAGGAAGTCCTCTCCTTTTAAATGCCAATTTACTAGAAATCGTCACATAAATATAACAGACTCATCAGCATTATTACTTTGTAACAAAAATATAAAAACAACAAATTGTGTTTGATACTATAATATATTGCTAATATTTTATTAATTTAATTCCTTTGAATGATTTGCTTGTCAGTTGCCTTTATCTTCCACATTTTTGTGTGTACATGGCCTAAACAGCACTATCTTCTTATCTGATTGCATTTTTTGTGTTGCATTGTTATTTCTGGAATGTAGTTTTTCTGTTATTTGTTTTCTGTTTAGAATAAATATGAATAAAAATACTCTCTTATAAGCTGCTTAGGGCCAGCTCCAGCATAGTGCTTTTACAGTTAGGAAGTGTGATTCTCATAAAGATGCATGGAAAATTTAATGTCTAGTTGTCTCATGTACCTAGTGATAATTGTTGACACTTTTTTCTCTGAAGATCTGGCTCCCATACCTTTTTTGTGGCATGTGTGTGTGCTGAGCATTTTCCCAGTCGGGCTTTTGTGGGTTTTTGGGTCCTAGCTAAATATTTTGGTAGATTTTGCAGGGAGCATTCATGAGCAGGATGCTAGATTGTAGCTTGTTCCTGATCTACTGGAAAGTGATACCATATTTTTAGATATTTTACTCAGTCTAGAGGCTTACACCAAAGTATTCCCATGGACAGGGGGAAATGTTAAATTTAAGTATTGCTTAGCATCACTTCATGTGTTTCTGAGATACTGGGCACGTGCCTATATGTCAAGTTTACGCAAGGTATTCCTCATAAGAAGTGAGAGGCATACGCACTCTCTGTGTTGCATCTGTCTATGATAGCTGTTTGGCTCTTGGTCCACAACCATGATGTGTACAATATTTTTTAAAATAACAACAACCACCACTTGTGAACATAGCTCTCATATGTCACTGGAAACCGCTCAGATAACTTATGCAACAACATCAGTCCTATAAAACATTTAGTCTATCTGAGCCAATAGGATGTTTTGGCTAACATGTAAGTCAAGCCATGTGGATTGCCTTAGTAAAACACCCTCTAGTTCAGGAGTGGCTAGCTCACAAAACATTAGCCACTTCTGAACTCATAGGTGTTCTACTTAGTTTCAGACGCAGTTGGTCTGTAACTCCCCGAACATACAACAAGCTGCCTGGGACCGATTTGAGCTGAGATCCAACAACATCTGAAAGGCATCTTATCCTTATTCTACAAAGACCCCAAACTTTTGACCCAAGTGACAGCATTGTTTATGCATCTGTACTCACTTAGCATGTATGTTAAAACTGCATGGTAAATTCAAGATGCTAACCACACTTTGATCCCATATTACATTCAGAGACCAGAATCCAAATAAGTCACTAGTCTCTTGAGGCTGCAGCACCACCAACAGTCCTACAGCTCTGCGCCTTCTCCATGGGTAGAATTTAAGAATACGATGAAAACTGTGTTCCTAAGCTACTTTCAACTGGAATCAACTGGATGTATTTCCAAATAAACATGCTTACGACTAGAAGGGAAATCCTTTGTTTTTCTCTCTTTTGCAGGAGGGCCATGGTGTTCTTTGGGAAGTATGCAGCTGTTGCTTTTGCCATATTGTCTGTGTCACTGAGTATTCTACATTCAGTGCCGGAGCGAGAGTTCATCGCTCCAGGTGAGATACATTAAATATTGGATTATTATTTTTTAAGCAGACAGTGATTTGGATAAATAAAACTTACCAGTTAAGCTCCCATCATCTGTGCACCATGAACAGAAATGACATTTCCTGGCATGGGAAATTGTGAAATAAGAAAGAAAAGAGGAGTGTAATGGAAGTGGTCCTCTTCGCCGCACTTTAACAGAAGTTGCAAAATCTTTTCTATCTCTCTTGTTAAAACTATTTAGCAGCTTGCTGGATTGCATCATTGCATTTAAAGCTTTACAAAGAGGAATACTTACATATACTTACCTATACAGTGGTACCTTGGGTTACAGACGCTTCAGGTTACAGACTCCACTAACCCAGAAATAGTACCTCAGGTTAAGAACTTTACCTCAGGATGAGAACAGAAATTGTGCGGTGGCAGCAGTGGGAGGCCCCATTAGTGAAAGTGGTACCTCAGGTTAAGAACAGTTTCAGGTTAAGAACGGACCTCCAGAACCAATTAAGTTCTTAACCCAAGGTACCACTGTACTTACTCAATATACTTACCTATACTGAGTAAATGTGCAAAAGATAGGGCTGTGTGCCACTTTTAGACTCTTCTGACTGAATAGCACTTTGTACATTACACCCATGAAAGTAAATGTTAACCATTTCATACTGCAGATTATTGGATAGGTAGCACTTTTAATCTCATTGACAAGAAAGGCATTATATTTCTCCCCATAATCATAAGAAATCATTTTTTTTTAAACTAATGAAAGCTTTCTGCTAGTACATGTGTATGCTTTCTTTTCTATATTTTTTCTTTCTTTTTTTAAAAATAAATTTTATTAATATTTTCCACAAAAAAATAACAATATGCATTGCAATTAATGCAAATTAAATTTTTTAAAAAGATGAAAAATGAATGGATATGGCATTAACTAATTTACTTTAACACTAACAGTGCTTTTTTGATTGGGGGCTTTCCACATAATATTTTTGATTGAGTTGTTTTTTAAAGCAGTATTATCTGTCAGCATCTCCAAATGTGGGAAATGAAGAGCTGCAGCTGTTTAAGCTTCCCTAACATCAAAAGATGATTTACTACGTTACTTGATTAACAGATGACCTCTATTTTCTGCCATATTCATAAACATGCATTTAATTACCCGCTTGACTTGTGATTTTGAATACCTCAGTGTTTTTGGTGCCCTGTATGTGACAAATTCTTTCAACTGGCATTTCTTTTTCTGAAAATGTGCTGCGTGTTCAAGGAGTGAAATTGCATGTTCTGTCTTGAAAACCCCACTTCAGAGCACCTTGTTAGTAGCTCCCAGTGAATATTTCACAGTTTTTGCCTTAGCTACATTTTGCCCCATATAGTCATTTAAGCTAATGGCACCATACTGATTTTTTTTTTTTTAAAGGAAAGAAGTGGGGAGGGGGGTTTCCTTTGGATCTTGAGGAGGTGACCAGTTTAAGCAAGCCTTAGCTAATTCCAAAACATTTGATAGAAAGAGGGCCAAGATCAGATCAGAAAGTTTATCTTATTTCCTGTAGACTAGGGCCTGGAGGACTTGTTGGGATCCAGTTCCCATCAGCCCCATCCACCATGGCCGATGGTAAGAGATTATGGGAATTGTGATCCAATCAATATATGGAAGGCTCCCATGTATTGCTGTAGACCATTTTGTCTTCAAAGTTAGATGTGAATTTAGCCATTCATGAATTGATGGCGCACAATGAGAAGCCCATCCTACCAGTTCAGCTCAAGACTGGAATGCAGCCCAGCCCGTCGTATGTTGCAATGTGAAGTACAAGTAGAACCAAGAACAGCACTAATATCTAAATATATTCTTTTCTGTGTATCTGAAAGGCTGCCCTGAATGTAAACTGATCTTGAACGCACGCATGACGGAGCTGTTCAATGGGCGACCTATTTATCAGTGTGCAGGATGCTGTTTCTCAAGGGCTTATCCCACTCCCATGAGATCTAAGAAGACAATGCCGGTCCCAAAGAACATCACATCAGAAGCAACATGCTGTGTGGCAAGAGCCTTCAAACAGGTAATGAGGCTACTAAACACCTACCTATGCAATATGTGTTTGTTACCCTTCCACCCTGGAATAATATTGGAATCCTCAGGCATGCTTGAAGATTGTGCCTGAAAGCTGCAACTCCATTCTTCTAAGTCCACAGTCTGCTCTCTGACTTACTTAAGGTCTCTTATAAATCCAGATGGCTCCAACCCTTATATAGCAATATCAGATCTATTGGTATTGACTTTGAACTCTTGTATAATTCAAGTGAGCAATATATGTATCACAACATTCAAACCAGATTAAGGGTGGGTGAACAGGAAAATTCCTCACACTATCTTGTAGCTGGATTTTGAATGTACCCTCAACCTCATTTCTGCAAAGGTTAAGTTAGCGATGTGTTGCAACTACATTACAACGTATTTGCCCTGTAGATGAGCAGCTGCTGTTCAAGAAATGCTAGTGAAAAATCTTTTTTGAGCATATGGAACTAATTGCATTTGGCGGGGTGTTCCTTAGAATTCTATCTACTTATAACTGCCAATGAAAATGATAGCAGAGTGAGTCTAGATAATAATTCTCAGTGTTTCTTTATTTATATTTATTCATATATGTATATATATAGAGAGAGAAAGTATCAAAATGGTGTACAATTAAAACAGTACCATAAACTTCACTACAACAAATCACAATATAGAAGAAGAAATTGCATAATAAACACATAGCTTTTATTTTAAGTGAGAAAATAAAGCATTAAGGTGTTCTTTGCAAAAAGGGTCTGATTTTTGCAATGAATGAAAGTATAATTCTATTTTTTCTTTTCTTTTCTTTTATCCAGGCTCCCATTCCAAATCATGAACACACAAAGATAGAGAATCACACCGATTGTCACTGCAGTACTTGCTACTATCATAAATCTTAAGACCTTCATGAATGGACCGCCGATGACAACGAATGATTTTATTTTATTTGCATTATTTGCATTATTTGCATGTATAAGATCATAACGTTTCTGATTGAAAAAAAGGAAGCTTTAAGCTTACCTACTATGATATATTCCCTGCTGTTATGTTTCCTCTTTACTTCATCACACATTGAATGAAACTGACAAATATGTTTCATTATTTCTCTTAGAAACCAAATATAGAATTTTGCATGACAACCAAAGTCTTGTTTATTTTGTACATAAGGTGTGAATTAATGTATAACTGTCTTCTCCAAGAAAAAGGATGCTATACTAATTTGAAATAATTTCTCACTCCATCTGTGGAGAAATATGTTGCATTCTTTTCTTCTAAAAATAAGCCAGTTAAATATATTACGACTTGTGGATTATCTTCTTCCCCTGTTGAAGAACTGAATAACATTGTTTCAGTGCTAGACATAGAAAAGAATGATTCTCACCACATGAAAATATGTCAATTGAAAAGAAGCTTCATAATAATTTTCAAGTTTCTCTTATAACCAATTATACTTTGAATTTGGGTATGGGTATTGCCATTTCAGAAACATTTTATATTTTCAACAGATGCTTGAACCTTACACCTGACAAAGTAGGTTGTTGTATATGAAAGTTCATGCTACAATAAGACTCTAGGGAAATCTCAAATGGACCAGAGTGCCAAAACCCATCCTCAGCAAATACCTGTGTTACATTCCCATATGCCAACACATCTGACTTAGGAAAACCATTGGCCTCAGCAGTTTTCAAATTGCCATGAGTGATGTAGGGGTTCCATGGGAAATTATAGGGAACCTGAGGGTATGATAGCACCGCAGGACATTATGTTTGACACTCCTCCAGTATCCTATAACAAACTGACCCAGACCCTGTGATCATCATCTGAGGCTCTTCTTCGTGTTCCTCCTCCGTGAAAGGCCTAGAAGGAAGCAACACAAAGGGCCTTTTCTGCAGTAGCTCCCATCTTGTGGAGTGCTGTCTCCAGGGAGGCTCGCCTGGCACATTCGTTAGATGTCTTCGGGCATCAGGCAAAGACATTCTTCTCCTAGGCTATGGCCTTTTTAAATGGGGTGAAGGGTATGGTTTTTGTTTGTTACTACGTTATGGAGGATGGCATGGAAATTTAATAAATAATAAAATAATAATAAATAATGGACTTTACTACCCAAACAGTCCTGCTATATTCTGAGATCTATTTAAGAACTCCCCTGTCACGTACTACATCTTGCTACACTGAAACACTGGATCAGCAGAGGTAGCTGTAAATTCAGACCTGTTGTTCTCTTAACATAATCCTGGGGTATAAGATATAAAGCTTCCACAAAAGCACAGAGATGGGGAAAAACTAACACCACACATTACTGCTTCCATTGCATTGAAATATACAGTGTGATAAAATGTGTGTGATAAAGGGATATTATATAATCCCTCTTAAAAAGGTAAAGGTAAAGGACCCCTGGATGGTTAAGTCCAGTCAAAGGCGACTATGAGCTTGTGGCGCTTATCTCGCTTTCAGGCTGAGGGAGCCGGCGTTTGTCCACAGACAGCTTTCCAGGTCATGTGGCCAGCCTGACTAAACCACTTCTGGTGCAACGGAACACCGTGACAGAAACCAGAGCGCACAGAAACCCTGCTTACCTTCCTGCCACAGCCATACCTATTTATATAATAATAATAATATAGTAATAATTTATTATTTATACCCCGCCCATCTGGCTGAGTTTCCCCAGCCACTCAGGGCAGCTTCCAATCAAGTGTTAAAATCAACACAGCATTAAATATTAAAAACTTCCCTGAACAGGGCTGCCTTCAGATGTCTTTTAAAGATAAGGTACCTGCTTATTTCCTTCACATCTGCTGGGAGGGTGTTCCACAGGGCAGGCGCCACTACCGAGAAGGCCCTCTGCCTGGTTCCCTGTAACCTCACTTCTCGCAATGAGGGAACCACCAGAAGGCCCTTGGCGCTGGATATCAGTGTCCAGGTTGAACGATGGGGGTGGAGACGCTCCTTCAGGTATACAGGACTGAGGCCGTTTAGGGCTTTAAAGGTCAACACCAACACTTTGAATTGTGCTCGGAAACATACTGGGAGCCAATGCAGATCTCTCAGAACTGGTGTTATATGGTCCCAGAGGCTTTTGAACTGCTAGGTTGGCAGGAGCTGGGACAGAGCAATGGGAGCTCACTCTGTTGCAGGGATTCAAACCACCAACCTTCCGATCAGCAAGCCCAAGAGGCGCAGTGGTTTAGACCACAGCGCCACCCGCGTCCCTCTTAAAAAGCTATACCACCCCTAACTCCTGTTCCTGTGTTCTTCACTTATTTTACAACTCATTTCTCATATGAAAAATCCAAGTTTTCAACCCTGAGAGGAAGGAACTCATCCACTTGGCCCATACCTACCGTATTTTTCGCTCTATAGGACGCACCAGATGATAAGATGCACCTAGTTTGGGGGGGGGGGGAGGAAAACAAGAAAAGAAATATTTTGAATCCCAGAAGCCAGAACAGCAAGAAGGATCTGGCTTCTGGGATACCGTGTGGCTGTTCTGGCTTCTGGGATAACCGCGCCAAACCTCTTCAGGGCAGCGGGATGAAGGCTCCCCCTGCCCAAAGAGGCTGCACGTGGCTAAGGCAAAAGCCAGGGCAGGCGCGTTGCTGAAGGGGTGCTGCGCAGTTCTCCCTCTCTGCGCAGCACCTCTCCTGTGAAGGAGAGGCGCTGCGCAGAGAGGGAGAACTGCACAGCGCCCCTTCAAGCAAAGCTGGAGAAGGAGACCCTTCTGTTCCTCCTCCGACTTCCAGGCAGGCACGTGGCCGAAGCCTCTGGAGTGCAGCGGGACCTCGAGCTGAAGCTGGGAGAGTCTTGCTCTCCCGGCTTCAGCAAAAGGAACCCAAAGCCTTCTGAGCGCACCGCAAGTTCCCGCTGAGCTCCAAAGGCTTCAGGCGGCTATCTCCAGACTTCAGTGAAAGCAATGGGAAGCCTCCGGAGCACAGAGGGAGCGCTCCCTCTGCGCTTCGGAGGCTTCGCGTTGCTATCGCTGAAGCCAAGGAGCCTGCATTCGCTCCATAGGACGCACACACATTTCCCCTTAATTTTTGGAGGGGAAAAAGTGCGTCCTATAGAGCGAAAACTATGGTAATAATATTGTTTTTCTAGCTTACTGGCTTTATCCCGAGGGTTTGGATCTGCTGATTGTACCCAGCTATATGTCTCTAACACAGAGCCTCTTTGCTACTGCCCATTTCTGCATCTCCACTTACCTGTCATCTACCTGAAGGTCTCATTATTATTTCAAACTCAGTATGTCCAAGGCTGAATTACTTGTCCTGCCACCCACGCCTTCCTGTTGACAGCACCTGCAGCCACCATGATGATGAGGCACACAGCCTTGGCATTTGCTGTGCCATTGATTCTTATCTCCTCTTTCCTCTCTAATTTCAGTCAGGGCTGAATGAGTCACTTCTCCCAATACAGCACTGCAAAATATCCTTATCTTCCCAGCTAAAACAGTGGTTCACGTTCTCAATATGTGATGCCCTTCTCCCAAGGCTAACCTATATACAAGAAAAGAATCGTCATCATTACTGTTTGAGTTCCTTTTTTTTAAAAAATGATATTTATTAAAGTTTCCAGTAAAAAAAAAACACATCAATAAAAAAGAGTTAAAAGTAAAAAAAAAAATACACAGTACAAAAATACACAATACACAATACACAATACAAAAAACAAAAATCAAAAAACAAAAAGAAGAAAAACAGTTAAAAACAATACCACCTTTTCATCACCACTTTTAAATTTACTTATTTTCTGGACCTCCTCATACCTCCCTCTTTTGTATTCCAGTTCAATTTGTATGTCCAGCAATTTCTTTCCCTCTTTTTTAATCCCAATCCTTAATCTTAATATAATATAACCTTAAATTTTTACCTATTAAAAGCCAATTTTCCATTTCTTTTAACTTTTTTAATCCTAATCCTTAATCTTGATCTATATATATCTTTAAAGCCTATGCAGCTAGAAGCCACTTAATTTCAATCCATCATCACTCTAACATTCTTTAAATTACTGTTTGAGTTATGATCTTCCTCTCCCTTATTTCTCTGTTTTTATTTCTTGACCGTCTATTCTTTCATGCACCAGGGGATTCCCTCAGTGGCTAAGGTTCCAGTTACGGGAGATCTTAAAGGTAAAGGGAACCCTGACCATTAGGTCCAGTCGTGGCCGACTCTGGGGTTGCGGCGCTCATCTCGTTTTATTGGCCGAGGGAGCCGGCGTACAGACTAAGCTGCTTCTGGCGAACCAGAGCAGCACACAGAAATGCCATTTACCTTCCCACCGGAGCGGTACCTATTTATCTACTTGCACTTTGACGTGCTTTCGAACTGCTAGGTTGGCAGGATCAGGGACCAAGCAACAGGAGCTCACCCCATTGTGGGGATTTGAACCGCCGACCTTCTGATCGGCAAGCCCAAGGCTCTGTGGTTTAACCCACAGCACCACCCGCGTCCCTACGGGAGATCTTAGCCTCCACTAAATCAGTCACCAATGAAGATACAGATGCAGATCCAGTACCGCCCAAACAAACTAATGCGAAGCTCAAAGAATCAGCCTAGGTCCAAATGCGATCCAGGGAAAAGGTCAGAAAACACTCCAAGATCAATTTAACAGGGAAGTCAGGCAAGGTGCAACACAGGAAGGCAAGGAGACTAGAATCGGGAACTAGGGCTTGTGTTGTTGCCATCCAGGAAGGTGAGAAAGGGTGGCTCTGCAACTGGAAGAACCATCAGGAAAGAATACAAACCTTTCTTTGCCAACCAGAAAGGTTTTTATGTTCGTCTGCTCAAACCAGTTCTATGTTTAGAGGATAAGCCTTTCTCCGGGGGATGGGGGTTACACAGAGGTTAACAAACTTAGCAACTTATCCTTACTACTATAGAAAGGCCATTCATGAGTCTTTGTAAACATAGAGAACTGATACACGGAATGAGAAGGAAGTGAATTGATTGTCACGGGTCAGCTATATTCTCCAGAGGATAACTCCAAGGAAGTGTTGGGGGAGATACGGCAGCAAGAACCTGTTTCTTCTCAAGGGGGTCCAGACTTTGAAGAAGGACTGCCAGGAAATTCGAA